CGGCATTGACCTTGGCTTAATCCGACGGCCGATTACACACGCGGCCCATATGAATAACGCATTCACTCTCGCCTGCTTTGCACAAGCCGCCCGTGTATGTGTTAGCGAAGTGACGCAATTCTGTGTGCGACTGTTTGTTTTGACTTTGAGCGTGAGCTTTTTTCCGCCTCATCTAAAAGCAGTCCTCTTATTTGAATATACAGCCAGATAACAACACATACACATACATTGTGCGACAACTCCAATTGGCTCAATTGCAGCAGCCGAACGCAATTATATTCTGACCGTTTTATGGCACTCTGCAATTATGTTCAGTTCCTCTGCCACTTTTATGGCTGTGTTAACTGAAAGGGAGCGAGTGTAATGGCTGCAATTTTCAAAAGAAAAGAACAAATTTTCACTTACTGTTCAAAATTTGTGAGGAATTTTGCAAAGTTCTTTTCCATTAAATTTAAAATTTGTAGAGTGATGCAATTTTAATTTGTGCAAAAAATAAATAAGTGTAGCCCCTGTAATTATACTTTGAAATACAGCCGCGTCGACCAGTTTGTATAACTTCCAGGCGCTATCCTGAAAATTTCAGAGTGCTATGCAGAATGTCTGTGCAAAATACTATACAATAAAATCAAATATCTAGTTAATGAAGTTTAGTAATTGTAATTGTCTATTATTTTCTTTTTTAATCCACTCAAAAGCTCGTTTTGTCATTAATTTTAATAATACTCATCGTTTTAATTTCAACAATCATGTTTTTTTTTTTTTTAAATTTTGTACATTATTTTATGTTAATTACTATTTTTTTGAATTTTTTGTTAAAAACTACTTTATCCCAGTGAAAATTTGGGCTAAAATTTCGTTTTTTTATAGGAATTTTCCTCAAAGTTGAACTGCGATTATTCAATATATTAATTGTTTATTTTTACTTTAGAAAATCAACCAAGTTGTTATCATGTTTTTTCACTAGAAAAAAACTTGCATTGCTCTATCACACCTTAATCCACCTTATATATTTTCCTCCCTTCTTAACTGCCTCAGTTTATCGAAAACCACCCCTCAATTCGTCACTGTCCGCGAACTCTGTAAACAAAATCCGCGTTATTGTGCCCAATTCGTTTCGCCAAAGCTCTCAATTTAAAGAAAGGGGCGTCCCTCGCTCGTTTCTTTCGGCCGCACGTCCTACTTAAATTTGTCGTCCGGTCATAAATTACCGCCGAATCCACCTCAATTCTATCATGTGTGTCTTTGTTTTGAAATTTCCTCAGCGTCTCATTCGCTCTCGACTGCTTTGAAAATATTTTCCGCGCACTCGCCAGGTCTAGAATAAAGTCCGGTAGCACTCGAGGTGCTAATTCCAAAGTGCACAGCATTTTTATGTGCTGGGCGTCGGAATTGGCCGCTTAATGAGCCGTGAGAGAGTTTGTCCTAGGCCCATTTGCTGCGTCGCAAGAAGCACAGAAAGAATAAATTGCCGCATTGTGGCCCGCGTGCGGTGACGTAAGAAGGAGCGCTTGCATCACTCTCGCTCGCGGCAGATCTGGACCCCACCTCCTTAAAAGGCGTGCTCTATTCAAACACCCACGATTATTCATCGTCTCACACGGCACAATGCCTTCGCACACCGGCATTTCAAGCCCATATTAATCGCAGCTGATCACACTGATTTGCGGTCAAAGCAAACAGAAAGTGCAGCGAGTGAAATTTAACTCTTTTGTCATCGCAAAAGATCAAATCACTCCTTAATGAGATTGAAAATTTATATAATTTCTTGTGTTATTTTAATCTTGAACAAAATATTAGAAAAATGACATAATTTTGCAATTTTTTTTTATATTCATACTAAAATTAATTCAGTAAAATTTTTTGAAAAAAGGAAAATCAAAAAGAATGCTGTAGTTATGTCGAAAAAAACTTTGGAAATAAAAAGAACTCAAAATTATTAATAACGCTTACAATTAGATTAGATTTTCGCGCTTTTTTAGCTATTAAATTGAGGTTTTAAAATCTACCCTATTTGTCACCAATTTGAGTAAATTAAATAGAATTTTTTAACAATTTGAGATTTGTCACGTTTCTCTTTTTGAATTATAAATTATGAATTTTATTTTAAATTAATTTTGAAACAAAGATCAACTATTAAAATCTGATGCTTAAAATTTTCATTTGGTTGCAAAAATAATCATCTGTTTGGATTTTTTCACCTACAAATATCACGTGTCTGTCTTTCCCAAAAGTCTGGCAAAATAACTTTTCATTAGAAAGTGGTGCAGATGTTTTGCGTCCATAAGTGCATCCTTTTCTTTCTATGCAGTTACAAAACGGCCATCAACAAAAGCAACCGTGTTCCGCTTCGGTCGTCGTTGTTGTCTGTCCCATTTCTCGAATTAGCCTCTCGCGGTTGTTTGCAGACGGGCGAACTTCAAAGCAGCATTTGAAGTCCAACCGCTTGGTGATCGCGTTGCCCAACCCGTTCTGCTCGGATTAAATCTTATTAAAAAAAAAATTAATAAATTATTATCGTAATTCAATATTTTGACTTGACAGCGGCCGATATATCTATAATAAAATGATTAACTAATTTGATCGCTTTTGATATATGCAAATCGATGGACACTTTCATTTTTTAGAAACCGGACGAGGAGGGAATTACTTTTTCGAATAATGCCGAAGATAAATATCTAAATCGCGGAGAGTTGAACAGCACAAGTGAAAGCCTCTCGCGGCGGCCGAGAGCAGCTTGCGAGAGCATTCATTCGCCTTGTAGAGTCGCGTCAGTGTGGGTGCCCGAGCATCACCTGGTGCTGTTTTTCCGCCACCCGGGCCCAATTCCGAGCCGCGATTTTCGGACCTCGGCTGGTTTAGCATGTGATCGGATAATTTAGCCGGTCGGCTGACAGGTGAGAAACAAATCGGCAGAGAGAATTCAGGTTGGGCACTCGTGTGGGCAGCCGCACAATTATTACGTCTCCTCATTTTTTTTATCGATGGCATTTCCTTCCCTTTTTCAGGTGGGGTTTCCACCAAAAATAATTAATAACTTAATTCCTTTTTTTTTAAAGAAAGCAAAATATGAGTTTTTTTTTAAAAAAAGAATATCTTATTAAAAATTAATTTGAATTGATTTTTTTTAATATTTTTTTAATTATATTTTTCTGTTAGTTTGGGTTTTTAATTTTTGATCAAGAAATTTTTATTGGCGGTTTGTGACTCTTTAAATATTTATGTTGATTTGCTAAAAAATATTATACTTGCTCTAAATGATTGGTCTTCAAGCTGAGGTTTTGCAAAAAACATTTATTGCGTCAGAGAGTCAGTCAATCAATTAATTTAAATTAAAAACTATATTTTGAATGTTAATAAGGTGAGAAACGTCGACTCCAAACAAACTAATCTCGCCGTATTTACTGCACATTAAAATCCTGAATTATGCTCGCGACTAATTTGCATTTCGCTCGAGTGACTCACGTCAGAGTGGCCAAGAAACCGATTCAAGGAGCCAATGATCCGACTCTAATGGCTTTTTAACTGTCGCGAGTTAAATTTAGAGATAAAAGGTGAATTTTTCGCATAGGTTGTTTTAAAGCACCTCGGCACGAATTGAGCGTTTCCGCGTCGGTCGCGAACTGGTTTAAGGATTTATGCGCTCTTAAAAATTTAAAAGGCACACGATCCAATACCAATACACACATCCGAGTTGTTTTTCGTTTTATGGCGGCGCGTACGTGCCTGTACATGGCGTTGATTTTAATTGGGCGCATGAGTAAGTCACTCATTTCAGTTGCATCAACTCGATTCGGTCTCATCTACCGCCGGCTCTGATGTTTTGATTACGCAAGGCCATTCAGTTGTCACTCACAGTCCGATCTATTGTCTCTCCACAGTGCTTGAAAATAATTTTAATTGCTCTAGTTGTCCCCAACCACCTTGAAAAATCAATATTTTCGAAGTTCCATTTCATTATTTTTTAGTTGCAAATTGTGTTTATAATTGTATCACCGGGCATTCTCTGCTCAAATACATTATCCATAAATTCAATAAAAAATACAAAAACAGATCATACAAAATGAACAGTCCTGAAATTCATATTGTTGGTATTAATTTTTACTGAGAAAGAACTCATTTATGATCATGATTGTATTGGTTAATTCATTAAAAACTGATGAAAAAAGACTTTTAGACACAATGAAGGCAAATTTGGACCCAAATCTTGAGCAAATTGTATGCATGCAAAAGAAAATCAATGGTCATGTCAATTTTATTTTTGTACTAAAATTTATAATGAAGAAGAAAAGAATTGAACGGTAAATTTTTCTTAAATAAAGTAATCTGTTCTTTAAGTGTGTTTTGGATTAAACAATAAGTTTTTGTCAAAATGTAGTAATAAATTATAAATAAAATTGTAAAAGAAGACAGAATTATCAAGAAATTTAAAATAAAATCTGTCTTTTTCTGCCAATAGGGGGTTTATAAGTTTCACAACTTTTGAATTACAATGCCAATTGCATAGATTTATTTGCAGAGTAAATTTCAAAAAGTTTATAAAATAAAATGGTTTTATTATTATTTTTTACTAGTCTGTAACATCAACAACATTAAATAATGTTGTTCTGAACTTATTGTCTTTTCAATTTTTACCGTCATTTATGCACCAAGCCAATAGCGATCAAAATTTTTATATAATTTATATGTGGCACATAACATACTAGGCTTTACAAAATACTTTTCAATATCAACAATGACCAAACATGCAAGATTCAATTTATCATCATATCATGAGAATGAGTAAAGCGTCGTTAAATTTATTATAAATTATATGTATTTAATCCTTATTATTAATTTTATTGAAATGCCTGTAAAATTAATCAAAAAAAATTTTAAAAGCTGAAAAACTAAAAATAAATATCATTTAAGATAAAAATGAAGAATAAAAATTACAATACATTTTTTTAAAGCTGTTAAATAATTATTAGATTAAAAATATTTTGTTATTTTTATGTTTTTAGTGGGCACGTCGTCGCCCGGAGTGAGCCAGCCGCTGGGCATTGACTGCTCGCCAGGTCCATACACCCCTGGCCCCCTGGACGGCTCCCTTTACGCGACCGTGAGCAAGAAGTCGCCGTCAGGGCACTCGCCCTCGCAGCCAGGCGTGCACAGTCCGCACACAGTCTCGATGGACTCGGGAATCTCATCGGCGGGCAACGGCGGCCAGGCGCAGGCCACCGCCACGGCCACCGACCACCAAAAGATGCTGGACCAGTTGCTCAACGACATGCTGCTCACTGTCGAAAACATCCCCGACCTGCCCGCATCGCCCAAAACGCAAACCACCTCGGTCATCGACGGAATCGACGACAGCCTCAGAGCACTGCAGGTTAGAAAATTTACAAATTAATTTTTAGAAGTTACATAAAATTAATGTGGAGTAAAAACTTAAGAAAAAATTGAAAATTTTGGGATATTTTCTTTTTGTCTGGTTTGAAATAGAAAATTATATTCATAATTGAGAAACAGAATAATTTAAAAATTTAAACGTTGGTTAAAAAATAGATTAAACTGAAGTGAATTCTGCAAATATTCAATAAAATCCAGCTCGAGTATTAACTTTTTATGGAAGTATTTTTTTTATTTTCAATTATTTTCAAATAATTAATTTCATTGCAATACATAGAATTGGTTATTGAAAATTATATTTCAATGAGAAATTAAATTTTATTTAATTAAACAGTTTTAAACTTTTTTAAGCAGTAAATAGGAGAGTCAAAAGGCGGGCGAGAGATGAATTGTAATAACTTAATTTGTTGCGTGCTGGTTGTGGGGCCGAATTGAGATAATTGTTTCGCGTCATGAACATGCTGTTTAGACACGAGAGTGGTTTTGTTCATTCATGCAAGCTAGTAATAATATCAAATTTCTCGTGCCCTGCCAGCAGTAAACATTACTCTCGGTGGATTTATGTAGTTTGATCTCGAACTCCTCCAGCATTTTTCGCCTCTAATTTATGGATTTGCCGCACAGTTTGGAACTTATAATTACACGTTTCGAAGAAATATACATTTACAACTTAAACCCACCTGAAATGCTTGATTTTGGTAAACTGACTAATTACGGATAACTGTAGAGTTCAATTTGCATAAATACAAAATGGAAATAGTTTTGGAGAGAACAAAATAAGAACGCCAAGGGATTTTTTTTATTATTATTAGTTTTAATCAATTGCATTCAATTATTGAACCAACTTGACTCGTTTATTTATAATACAAAAGTATATTTTGATCTGTTGCTAACTTTGCATCAACCAACTTGAGTGGGTTAAAAGAACAGTTTCACTTTGCCAATTAAATTAAGTTTGTGCTGCTCAAAGCTTTTTCTTTTGAACGAACAAACGCCGCCATAAATGAAGACGATCGTAAGCCCACGTGAACAACATAAAGAACGGAATCATTCCACATCACATTGAAAATTATAGGGACTGTGGATTTGAGCCTAAGAATTTCTCTGCTTCCTTAAATCAATTTTATAATTTCTTCAAATTAATATAAAATTATGGAACTTTTGAAATATCTAAATTTTTTTACCAAATTCATAAGAAGCATTTAAAATTGATCATAATTGGCGTTTGTTTATTCTTCTGTTTGAAATTTTGTTATCTGATAATGTTTACATGATTTGATAAAAATTTATATATTATAACAAATTACATTTAAATTTAATATTTTTTAATTCGTAGTAAAAAATGACAAAAATTTTAATTAAAAAAAAATGCTATTAATTAATTAAATGAAACTTTAATTGAAGATCAATTAAAGAATAACTCTTTTCTAAACAATCTCGTTGATGTTTTGAAAAAATTTTTGCTATACTAATTTGCAAATTAGAAAAATAATTAATATCTGCTATAAATCGCTGAAATTGATTTTGAATACAATTTTTCCTCCTTTTTTAACTCCATTGAGATATCGTTTAGAGAAATTTTTCAATTAGCATCTCTATAAATGGGAATTGTTTAAAAAAAAAAATTATATATTTTATATTTTCTCGAGCTCTGTTTTACTAAAATTATTGAAAATTTAATATCATCAAATCAACTTATTATTATCTCAATTAAGTAGGCAAAATAAAATGATTGTTTTATTTCTTTTTAAAATTTACATTCATTATAACAAATAAAAAAATAATTTGCCTGATAGGCTACCAAAAAAGTGTTACCAATGTTCATTTTAATTTTTTTTACTCAATTAGTCAGCGTTTAGAATCCATTACTCTGAACAATTATTTACACCCAACTTGTTTCCGCCAACACTGATTTTGAAAAATAAAAAACTAACATCAACCTGTTTTGCATTGGCAGGAGTTCCAGTTCAGCTCTCCCTCCTCGAAGCCACAGCAACAACCTGCGGCTCCCACGCGGCGGCCACCCCCCTTGAGCAACTCCCCGCCACCGCGACCTGCCCTGCCGGCGGAACTGCAGCATCAGGAGCAGCAGCAGTTGGACTCCGGCGGCCCCTCCGACGTGCCGTACCACGCGCGCCACGACAGCCGACCCTTCACGTACGGCCTGCCCGACTCGAAGCACTCGTCGTCCGACACCAACACCATGTCCTCGACCAGCACCAGCACCACCCTCCGCTCGGTGGTGTACAACGGCGACGCCCCCGCCCGCACCCCCGGCCTCGCCAGCCCAAGTCTGGTGCGAAAAGCGTCCTTCGGCAAAAACTCGGCGCCGACCAACGGCTACGGCAACAACACCAACACCTGGAGCCCTGCCAGCAACAACAAGAGCTGGTCCACGCCGGACGCGCACCACTACTCCAACGGGTGAGCCACGCTAATTCATTTTCTACGCCTTTGCTTGAACAATCGATCGGTTTTGCATGCTTAGTTTTTCTTTCAAAAATAGTTTGCAAGTTCACATATAATATCAGCCCCTGAAAGACTGGCTTGTTAATTAATATGAATATTTTTATTGTTTTTCCAAAAGTTCATAAAATTTTATATCATTTTAAAATTGAAGGCGATCCAAAAGCCTAACCTGTTCCATACTTCTTACTGAACTCGCTATTTAAATTTGTCACCAAACTTTTTAGTAATGTTGCTTTTCTTGACCAGCCTCAATTTTTTGTCTTAATTTAGCATTTGGACTTTTGATCCATTTTTCGCTAATTTATTTTCAATATTTTTGAATTGCATTTCGCAACCGTAAGCTTCATTTTTGCATTACAAAAAGAAGGCAATTGGAAATAATTCAACAGTTTTGGATCAAATTTAATTTCCGTATTTTTCACATTTAATTTTCACTTTCAAAATATCCGTCGCTGTTTCCTTCTGTATTTGAAAAATTTCACTTCACAGGATATTTGCGCTTTTAGAGATTTTCGCTTTTCATAGAATCTGACGAACCGACGTCCTCAGTCGATAATTTGATAACGCCTTTTTTGGCCAAACATCCTTGCCCTAGTATCTGGCAGCGCTTCCAGCTGTAAAAAATGTCAGTCTTTGGAATTTCATCTGTGGATTTTCAAAACCGAACGGAAACGTGTGTTTCTTGGTACCAAATTGAAATTTCAGAAATCCTGCTTCTTTTCCACCCGATCAACGTTGAAATTTGTCTGACTGACAAGTGGAAGAGGGCGAAACGAAAAACAGGTGTTTCTTTAAACAGGCGAACCTTATGGAGAGTCGAGCGGCCGCAGAGCCGCCGCTCTTTCTCTCTGCCGCGAGTCAATGTCCGAGATTTTTATACACAGCGTGGATATTATTGCCCACGCAACCGTTCCAAAGGAAGAGACAGGAAAATTATCATTATTATTATTTGAAAGAGGCGTAAGATTTGCACAGAAAAGGTTTAGAGAAGCACAATGGGCAACAAATGCGATGCTCATTTATCTCTGCCGGCACTTTTTGCATCGAAGCTAAAAGGCCGTAAATTTATTTCGCAGTGACAAAAATAACGGCCAAGGAGCCAATCGATAAATTTATTTATCCTCCTGCCCGGCATGAAAAAAATAAACTTGAAAGAGAAGCACTGACACAAATAAAAAGACCATAAATTTCACTCTGTGCGGAGACGCCTCTCCTGTTATTTCTTCTTTTTTTGCAGTTCTTAATTGCGCCATTAATTAATTCAATTAAAGTGCTACTCGACGCTCGGACAAAAAGCGGCCTTTGTGCGCTCGGTTTTTTTATTTGAACATTCATATGGAATGAAACGCACTTCTTACTCTTTGTATGGTAATTTTGTATGTGGCGACCTTGCAGACCTGTTTAGGCCCTAGGGTGGAAGAAAGGTACTTGGCAAAGGTGGGCTCGGGTCGGGAGATCGCGCGAGAACGACGCCCACATGGAAAACAAAACTAACTGCGCGCCAGAGCTTATTTCAGAGGTGTCCTTCGAGAAAATGTAAAAAAGGCGAACAAGTCAAACAAAAACGGCGCCGAGCGGACGGTTAAAGTTGTTTAACTTTAAATCCCTTGGAGATAAATTGCTTGTTCCAAACAGTTTAGAGGAAAATTAATGTCAGATGGAAGACAAACAAAATAAATTTTGATAGATCCAAAAGTTAAGATTAAAAGCAGAAAAAAATTGAAATCTTTGTAAAATAAGAAACTGATAAAAATTGATGAATAATTGCTTAAAAAATGACATTTTTAATAGATTTAATAGAATGACAAATTTAGTCATCAAACAATAAGTGCATCTTAAAGCGAGTTTTCAAATATAACTCTGGATTACCGTATAACATTGTCTGCTGATCTTTCCCCGAGGGTATAAAATCTCATTGTTAGTAGAAACTTGTCTGTAATTTTTCGAGGCGCGAACGGTAGTCGAGGCTGGGCAGACGCAACCTGATCTTTGCTTCAGGTCAAACCGCAAATAAAAACATTTACAAGCAACACAGCAGTCAGTCCAGTTGATGAAATTACATCTTGTTTGCTCGCCGCAGATCATAATCCGAGCAGCAGTTCTTGAAATTTATCTGTTTCTTTTCTGGCTGGCCAACAGAACCACGTCGAATTTCCACTCGACTTCTGCAACGAGCACCGGAAGACGCGGCAAATTGTTCATCGACGACGACTTCGACTCCAGAGATCTGCTCGACGGGTCAGTACAAAAAAAAAATTTACTAACCCGCACGAATTTTTTTTTCCTACTAACAACTCTGCTCTTACTAAAATCTTCTCTCGTTTTCACGTGATGCGGCGAGTTTTGATGTCGGTGTGTGTATTAAAAATAAACACACGCTTCGCGGCGTGGGCGTTCTGTAAAATAAATAAATGCATTTTTCACGAGAGATGAGAGGGCAGGAGGAAGACCGCGCGCGGTTGCTGCTTTTTGGTGCACGCGAGAGTCGCGCGGCTATTCCTGGTGCGGTCCGGCTGGGCGCGGGGGAGGTTTAAGCGCCAAGATTAAGCAGTTCATAATTAACACACCGCTCTGCCACCTCATTCTGCCGCCGCTGGCGAAGCACCAAACTCCAAAGATCGCTCCGTGTGTACGATAGCGTCAGTCGGACACCGAACAGTTGTTTTCGGCACTTTTTTTTTGTAAATATAAATAACACGCCTCTCAACGTCAAAGTCTGGACGTGATCGTTTTCTCGCTCATCTATAATCATCAAACTTTTGATTCGCCGTTTCGGTCTCAATAAATTTCATCATATGCCATTAAAACTTTTAAAAGTTATCTATCATAACCGCAAACGAACATATCAATTCAAACTTAGATTTTCAAAATTCAAATAAAGTTGAACTCTGTTTTTTCGGTTTTTTCTGTTCTAATAAATGTAGAGTGGTGTGTCTTTGTTTGTGTTGTAAAGTTGGCGGTTCCAGGGTATAATTTTTAAAGGTTTTTTTACGTGGTTTAACTGAAACTGTGCGAGAAAAACTTGGCTTTTAAGTATCAAAAGGTGACAATTTTTGGGTCATTTTAAATTAATTTCCTATTTAAAAGACACAATTTTGGCATTCTCTAAAGCTAAGATTTTCTCGTACAGTTTCAGTCGAACCATGTGAAATCCTATTGAAATTGAAAGGTTCCAAAATTTATCATGTAATTTTAATATAAGTCATACCGCGATGGATGATCATGAGATAGTTAGTTTTATTATGATAATGTTAATAGTTTCTCTACGTGTGCTTTTAAATAATTTATAAACTTAATTTAACGCAAAAGCTTTTTAAATATTTTAAACAATTGGTGGAAACAATAGGGGGTAATCTTGTCTGATTATAAAATAAATTCGTGAAAACAGTTAAATAAATATTTATTTATATTAAACAGTTAAAGAAATATGTGTTTAAATAAAATTAAAAATAAATGGTTAAAATTTATTTCACATTTAGTATAACTGCAATGACTGCTTTTATATTTATAATTAAATTTTATAAAATTATACTTGGTTGATTATACGGAGTCTACAATTAGTACTCATGGAGATAGGAAAATTAATAATAAATTTAAAAAAAAGCTTTTGCAATTAAGAAATACTCTCTCCTCAGTTTTGATTAATTTATTTGTAAATGAAATTTTCATATACTTTCTCATATCAATATAATTTGTTTCTTGAAGCCTTCATATCTCTGTTCAATTTATTTACTATCCCAGGTACAATATTAAAACTTTTCTGAAGAAAGGTGCTTGTAGTTATAATTTTATGTTCAAAATTAGTCATGAAAAATCTAAAAAAATAATTTGAAAATATGGAGTTTTTCACTCATATAGGTTATTCTAAAAATTCAATGTTAATTATAGCAAAAGGCATATTATCTGGGCTTCTTTAATAATTTTAGATCCTTTCCTACTTAATAAAAATGTCAAAACCTATTTTCCAATTCCCTGTCGTATAAAATTCAATTTTTAATCTTTAACTATAATATTCATTCTAAAACACTTAAAGTATAAAGACGTGTTCTAGGATTTGATTAAATTGTTCTTGCTCCACTTTTGACCCCTTCTCTGGCAAACAGGCACTTACTTAACTAATTAGGGCAGTATATAAATTCCAATGCCATTGAAGAAAGTGCGATCTCAGATTGCAGGCACTCGCTATGTTATTTCAGACGCGTGGGGATCAAAAGCGGCCTGCTGTTCGTCGCGCCAGTCATAAACAAAATTATTCATGCCGAGGGTCGGTGGCGCCGCCGCCGCTCTTTCCGCGGCGTGCAAAATCGCGACAAAGTGTAAAGAAACGCCGGCCGGCGTCTCCGCGCCGTCCACCCACGGCCATGCCATACCTAAAAGTCGGACTTGTCGTTTTTAGTGCGTTGTAAAACTCAAATTATTCCGTCGGCACTTTTAACGAGACCGGGTTAATTAAGACGTTAAAAGCGTCCGTCCGTCCGCCAACCTAGCTGCGCTCATCGAGAATCCATCTTTCTTTTTCCTACTCGTACGCATAGACAAAGCGCAGGACGAGTTCGGTTTCCATCAGCCCCAGAGGTTGACATTTTTATAATTTACGACGCGGTGTGACCTGCCGGTGTGTTTTCGTTGCCCGCGCCTCTCTTCTTCTTTCTCGCGGGCTCTGCTCTTTATTTACATGGCCGTTGAGTTAAATATGACTTTTTCAGCTCGCGAGAATCGCTGTTTTATGCTCGTCATGTGCCGAGTGAGAGAGAGAGAGAAACTCGGCCTGAAGAGGAGCTGTTCCTAATCAGCCGGCCCCAGAGAGGGCACTTAAAATAAATTTGCGATGATTCAATCTTTCGAAAATAACAGAGCGCGCAAATTGAAAGATGGAAATAAAAATTTTGTTCAACAGGAAACTCAAAATTCCTCTGCAAACAGCTGTGAACGAAATTATAAAAGACTAAGAAAGGGAAAATATTTAATTTGAGAACAAATTTGAGAAAAAATTTTCATCATGAATACTTATAAATTGATATTCTACAAAACAGTACTATAGGCAACCTGCGCATCACCGTTTAATATATAAATATTACAGATAATGTGTATGGCATGTTTTCTAATTACCAAATTATTTCAGATCCTTAAATTTTTAATGAAAAAAAAGAAATTACCCCAGAAAATGAACTGAATTAAATTAAATTAGATGACAGTTGATATAAAACTTGGCTTAAAGGATTGAAAAGGAAACAAAATAGTATTAAATTAATTAACTACATAATTGTTCCATAAATTAAATAACAGCGGAAAACCTGCGCATCAAGGAATAATGCGGTAATAGATTTTAATTTTTAATTTTCATTTTAATTAACGAGTGCAGTATTTATAATTTTCTATTAAAAAAAACATAAATTCAATTTGTCCCATTGGTTTCTCTGTAGAAATTTAAAATACTCGTGTGACTTTCACAACAACAAAAATTGAAAAAAAAACCTTTTTCTATGGTGTTTGTTCAGTTAATTTGAATTCAGTTATCTCATGAGCAGTATCCATATTTTTAAATTATACAAATTTATTTAATTAAATTTTTTCCATATTGCATTGTTATATTTAAAGGTCTGGCCAGATTAAATTCAATCAACCAGTTTTTGGAGCTGGAAACAGGTGTTGTCAGCTTTTAAGGTGAACAAAAAGTGGCCATCCTCCGCCTATGAATTGCGGAATCCGCGGCGACCAAATTTGAGCCGCGGCGGCCGGTCCTACACACATTGTGTTTGTGCTCGGCTTCTTTTTACGGCCGTGGAGAAAAAGTTTCAGGTGGACGCCCCTCGTTACTCTATCGCCATTTTTGGCAGGACTCTCGGAAACTCGTTTACCGCCTCGCATCTCTTTTTCTGCTGATTACATTCGACACTGATTTGCCGTTCGCCGGTCACGTGATGATTTTGCCCGAGAAGAAGAGGTTCAACGTCAATCAATTCTGACGCGTATTAATCCTCTCGTGGGGCTCCTTTGATCTCGGCTCGCCCCTTTGACTTCTTCTTCATTTCAAAAATGCGTCCGACTGCAATTGAAAATTTTAAAAATTCCTCACAATCAGTCGTGTATACTTTGAGATTAAATAATGCAAAAGTATACTTGCTCTTATTGAGGCCGCAAGTGCGTGTTCGCGTTATTTCTGCGCAAAAACCTGTCATTGTTAGTTTTCTCTTGAGCCAGTCATTGTCCGCGCGATCTCCTCGGAATGCCGTCTGCTTTCGATGCGACGCTGATGGTCCCAGAATTTTAAAAAGTCACTTTTTTTCGGTGAATTTAGGCCATTATCGTCCCACGGTCCAGCAATTTTTAGCAAATTTGTATTGTTATTATTATAATCATTAAGAAAGATTTTTAACAGTAAATATTTAATAAGATAACATTACAGAACAACAACGACTGTTAAGTGCAATTAAAAAATTAATTAAAAAATCGAACCAGATACATACATTTTCAAAAGACTGGAAACACCCTATAATAATTAATAATTAAGTTATCATTTTCGAGCAAGTAACATAATGAAATTTCAGTGTTTTAGTTATCAAATAAATTTTCTTCATTTCATTTAATTTCTGAGGAAATCCTTAAAATACAAATCACGCCATTTAATGATTGTTGAACTCTAGAGTAAAAAAATGCTCATTTGCAAGGCTTTGTATGGATCAAAAATAAAAAATAAATAAGCAAATCCCCCTTTTCCCTTGCATTATTTATTTATTGTATATTAGTTAGGCCATTCGCAACACTGTATGGAGCGACATTACGTTCTTGATTTTTAAATTTTCATTAAAATACAATTATGAAACGTAAAACATAGAAGTTCAAAAAGTGGTTTCAATCCAATTTATTCATTTTTTTATAATAAAGATTGATAACGTAAGACTTTGTTTATTAAATTTATTTCTTTGAAGAAATTGACACTTGAGGAGATGATCATGGAAATTGTTCTTGTTGCAAAAATTGATAATGATAATAAAAAAATGGCTCTACCAGTTTCGATCATGGTTTGCAACCCTATTTCATTAGCAGGAAAAATACAAAAAAATCAGCAAAATTGCCATTTGTTTTTAATTAAAAACTATTTTTGCAATGAGGAAAAACCTGATCTCTTCATCTCTATCAAATTTATTTTAACCTTTTTAAACATAAAATTATACTTTATAAGAACTTTTTTGGGGAGTGACATGAGCTTTGCGTTACAATTTGTTAGGTCACACTTGAAAGTAAATTTGCAGTGCATCTCGTGTTGCAATACTTCAAAGCTCTCTGCGCTAATCTCGGCCGTTCATCTGTGGACGAAAAAAAAATGAAAATATTTATAAATCGGATGCGAGAGCCAGAGTGTGTGTGAAATAAAATATGAGTCGCGGCGAGGTAGGCGCCGTGCGGAGCCACAAATTGAGCAGGGCTCGTCAGCACCCACTCCTTCCATTTATATTTGTTTTGTGAAGGAGCGGGCAAAAGATTTGTGTGCGCCCGAAAATATATTATAAAACTAAAAGAAGTTGGACGCCCTCTCGAGCAGACATAGAACTCTCACGCACGAATAGAAAAACGCCGCGCGCTCCTCTCTATTTCTCTCTCTCTCTCGAGTATATTTATTTATGCTGCATGCAAAACATGGCTTTTTTATTTTGGGAACGCGAGCAGTAGGACAGACAAAAGGGCCAACCGGTGGAGTTGCAGCGAAATCAAGCGTGCGCCTCCTCCTTTTCTTTTTAGGTTATCTCTTTGGCTGTTCAAATTTATTTTTACTCGCACACCAAGATAAATAAGAAAAATTAGTCTTATCCATCGATTCCAACGAACCTACAGTCACTCTTATGTAAAAGGTCATTTAAGGAATTTGATTTCAGTTGAGTCTTATATTTTTATTTCTGAAATTTAATATTTTTATTCTTCCAATACAGCGACGATTTTTTTTTTTAGATAAAATTTATTTTGCATGAAATAATACAATTACTTTATTACAAAAAAGTTGAACGCCATTTATTTCGTCAGATTTAAATTACACGGTTTTTTTTCAAGCTGTATTCTCTATTTAAATTTAGATTGCTGGGTTATTCAATTCGATTTATTATTTCTTTACATTCCAAAGTAGCTTCTAATAAACTTTGCAAATTGGGAATCAATATATTAAGAGGTCTTATTTCAAATACAACTATTTAAATTTATTATATATTTTTATTATTTAATAAAAAAATGTTTCTTTTATGATTTCTTGAAATAAATTATTTAGAATTTTAAAACTATTATTTTAATTTTTAATAATTTTAATAATATATTTTGCAATATTTAATCAAATTCAAATTATTCGGTAGAAAATTGTAAATTACTTAGGAACAAAAGGCCTTTTCAACAACAAAATATAATTAGAAAAATATTTTGCTGTTAACCTGTCCAGTGTTGAAGTAGAAATTATTGATAAATCAATTTTGATCCTCTTTTTTCATTCCTTTGATGTTTGATGTTTCAAGATTAATAGTGCACAAATAATTTAATTAAGCCGCACCTGATTTTGAGATAAGTCGTGCTCTAGTTTGCGTTGCTGGCGACGCAAGGCATTCAATTGGCCGAAACGATGGCGAGTTATTTTTATTAGCAAATATGTGTGCGCCGTACACGTTATTATGATTTACGACGCTGAGTAATTACATTTAGACGCATAATAACTCTGGATGTCAAAATAATTTTTAAACGGGAAAACAACTTTTGGTGTCGCGAGGCTCCGCGTGGTAATTAGTAGAATCAACTTGTTCTGCTGCCTGTACAAATGACGTGAATTATTGCAGCATGGAATGAAAAAAACAGCTCCACGGCCGCGCTTTTTTCTGTCTTTTTGGTCCGTTTGGTGCGCGCAGACAGCGTTTCTCCGATTTTCTTGGCACGATTTTGACTTTTGCGGTGACCAGCGCCAAGTGAATAAAAAAAAAAACATCCCCGCGGCTTTATCATTTTATCGCGTGTCGATTAAGCAATTGAGCGAACCGGTTTAGTTTTACTTGCAAATTTAGCAGTTTTAAATGTTTCTTTTTAGCATTTTTGAGTTCTCACATCACCGCCGCCAGCAAAGCTTGCTTATTTTTCCGCCAACACCCACGCGCCATCACTTTATTATTGCAAGTCGGCCAGCCAGAAATGGCAGCAGCAACGCGATAAATTACAATCCCCCGACTGGGCAAGGTCAAAATCATTTCATCGGGCGAACGCCTCCGACTAATTTAATGCAATTCAACCCATCTCGCCAAAGAACTAAAGAATAAAAAAGCCACCCGTCATTGCGCTCACTATGGTCGCAATTTATTTGTCACTGTTGAAAGGTCAAACAATTCATATTGGGAAATACTCAGAGAAAAATCCTTTTAAGTTAAATATTCAGTAAAAATCCTTTTAAGCTTCATAATAATTTTTAATTTCCCTAAATATTACAATTTGTTTTGTAAAAGTTTCAAGGAAAAATTTCAACGTGAGGTTTTTAATTATGCCAATTAACGTCATTTCTAAATTTTTTGTGATTTAATGTGAAAATTATCTTGCAGATATTTTTATTGCACCTTCAAAAGTTTATTATTTTTCGCACATATCACAATTGTCAAAAATAAAAATACCCTTTTTGGTGTTTCACGAAACGAAAACAATCAAGGAATATCTCAACAACTGAAATTCTAATTTAATCTCCATAATTTTAATGTGCCTGGTTCGATTTTAAAATATTAATCTGTGCAAATTAAAACAAACATTTAAATATTTTGCATATTTCCGCACGTCGAAAGTTTATATGAATTAAATTTGGTGAAATTTCCTGAACCCATAATTAACCAGCTAGATTTTTTACTCGTAAAACGCCTTTTCGCTTCAAGGGAACCTAAAAAATTGCGTTGTTTTTAACATAAAAATAATTTTTGATTACAGGTACCCTGACAGTACCCTGAGTAGCAGCGCCTCCACGAGTAATGGTGGGCTGACGTGGCTGCAACGCCAGCAGCAAAAGTTGAGGGACCGGAAGGAGCAGCAACTGCGGGCCGAGCGGTATCCGCATGAAACCAAGTTGCTGACCGAACTGCGCACCGTCCAGAATAGAATCAGCAGGTGAGAGATCGAGTGTTGCAGTCGGTGTGTGTTTTTTCAGCGCTTTCAGTTTACATAGCACTATTTTTGGTTTGAAAACATCAGCACAAAATCAAGTGAAACATTAAAAAAAAATTACTTGAGACTGAAGAGTTGAAAATTTTTCACAAAACAACCCTAATCCTTCACATTATATTAGTTTATTACCAGCAATTTTTCACTCACGTTTGAATTGATTTGTTTTATTCGCATCTTTTTAAGAGGCATTCAACCTTAAAAGGAGTTTTTCAAGTATAATTTATATTTAAAAATTTAACAAGGATTATCCTGAGAACTGGCCAAGCTTTAATTAAAATTTTATTTTGAGAAAAGTGGGCCTGGTTAGTCTTTTGAATTTTTCAAAAAGATTTATTTTTTAATTAAAAAACTTCAAAATTAAGGTTGATTGTCTTTGCCAGATTTTGCCCAGTGATACATTTAAAGTTTTTCACCAAATCACACCCTTTTTTGAATCGTTTGCAAAAAGTTATTCCTGGGCGAAAACTGCACTTTAAGCACAGAGATTTGCCACTAACCAGCACTACTATTTTGCCGGTCACTTTTGTAGACCTAACGGCTCTAGCCCCCGCCGCCCAAGCACTGAGGATGGCTATGCTAGCGACACCACCCTCTTGCTGTCCGGAATGGAGGATGACCCTCTTGTAGCCGACAGTCCCTCTCCACAGTACAGCACTCCATTCGCAGTCAATTCCACCCATAGGTACCTCTTCTTGCTCTCTCTTTTTTTCTCTCTCAAGCGTAAATATTTCTCAATTATAAACGCCGACACCTCTTTCTCTATTTCTCTCAATTAAAATTAAATTGTTAAAACGCATCACTTTGCTTCGCAGCTTCAACCGAGGCATTTCGGCGCCCTCGTCGCCAATCCTGCCGAACCGCAGCTCGAGCCGAGAACGCACCCTTCGCTATCAGGGTCAGGGCAGCGGCAGCCAGAGCCACCACCAGGAACTGGCCACCATTATGTCCGGCGTCAAACCCCTCAGCAGACAAAAGTCGGACACTTCGTTCGACCGCGAGAGACCGTTTGTGGCGGTCAAGAGGGCGCACGAACAGCAGCAGCAACAACAACAGCAACAACAGCAACAACAACAGTACAACAGGCGACTGGATTCCCAAACCGTGAGTTTAAAATTTTGATCGACTTTTGAGAAGATTCATCATTATTCATTTATAAACCCAGACAATTCACCAATTTTTGAATGTTTTTATTATTACAAAATATTGAACTTTCTGTTGTTTTGCTTTAATTTTAGAGCATTAGAAATTTAGATTCACCAAAATGCAATCATTTGGAATAAAATTATGTGCTAGTGCTTTGCTCCGATGTCTTGTTGCATTTTTTTTTATGGATTGTGAGAAATGAAGCACAAAAATTCAGTTTTACGTTTTAGAAGCTTTTCTATTTTCCACCAAATATTTTTTAAGAATTTCTTTCAATGCAAAGTGCATGGATTTGAATGATTTTTCGATTTTTGTGATTGATGCTTGTAGAGTTCCCCTGCTTCTCATTATTCCCTGCTCGCGGCTCAGCCTGCTCTGGGCCAAGTGAGCCACTACTACTCCATCAGACAGAATCAGCCGACCAGGACATACACCAACGGACACGATTATAACAAATCCCCTTCACTTTATAACGGGGTGAGATCTCATTAACCGCCAATCAATTAAACACACATTATAAACCATCAAAACATTTATCACTGATAATAATTTAACACATTATTTTCGTGGTGATTTGAATTTAAATTCGGCTTTTCCTTGATGGGTTTGCGTGAGTTTTTTTTTATTGTTTAAGGAAAAACAACATTTTTCGGCTGCAGGCTGCAGCCATAATTCATGAGTTAAGAAATTATTTTGACAAGAATTAGTATAAAAGTCAATCTTTTTTCAAAATTATTTTTCTTTCAAAGTAACAATTTTCTGTGAAAAATTTTTTAATACATGTAGAGGAGGAAATTGTTTTTTCTTAAACAATAAAAAAAACTCAAAAAAACCCGTCAAGGAAAAGCAAAATTTAAATTCAAATCACCTAGATCGTGAGCTCTACTAAAAAATTTTGTTCCTGTTGCTTTTTTTTTTTTTAATTTCCAGAAATTCGTGTGTAATTTATATTGCTTGAATTGTAGGGTTTTGATGAGTTTGACGCGAGCAGTCGGCCGCAAACGCCTGCCTTCCCAGTCCACCCTCGCACCCCATACGCCAACAACAGCGCCAGTCCGTACCCGCAGACTCCCCAGCCTGGCGACAGTCCGTCGAGCGGCCTCCCGCCAAAGAGCCCCACCGCACAACGGTAATTTAGTTTATTTTTCATGTAAAAACCAATTCTTTCCCTAGGGCTTGTTCTTTTTCTTTTGCCAGACGCATTTTCATTTGGTCTTTTTCCTGAATTTTCAAATCTCAAAATTCTCTCGCTTTTTATTTTCCTTCTTTTTTATTTCGCCAGACGGCTTCGGATGCGAAAGTGGCCATCCAATACTTCTTTGACTAGGTAAGCCAGTGAGCTCTTCATAGGTCTAGTGTGGCCACCACACCTCACACTTTAACCTGGCTTATCTGGTCTCTAACTTTTGGTATGAATGCGCATCACAATCCACATAAAATAAAACGTGAATTTCTCTCATCCACACAAAAATACATTTTGCATAACTAAGAGTGGTCTGAACGTGAAAAACTGGACGAAATATTTTTTCTTACATTTTAAATTAAATGTGAAAATTTTGACCGCAGCCGAGAGCGGTCCATGTCACCAGGATCGGACGCACCAACCACTCCGTCCTTGTACGGCGGCCAGTCGAGACGGTCGTCCATCCAGTCTTCTGGAGGCGAAACTGTGACCCAGGAGGTCAGCCCAGTCCATGTCAAATTTGTCCGAGACACGTCAAAATACTGGTACAAACCAAACATCTCCAGAGAGGAAGGTGCGCGAATTGCCTGTCGATGTTTTAATTCGTAAAAATTAATCCGAATGAATTTCAGCCATTGCTCTGCTGAAGGACCAAGCGCCGGGCACATTTGTGGTTCGCGACTCCAATTCCTTCCCAGGCGCGTTTGGTCTTGCCCTGAAAGTGGCCACGCCACCGCCATCCACCCCAGGTGGCACCAGAGATCAGGGCAACGAACTGGTCAGGCACTTTTTGATCGAACCCACCTCCAGGGGCGTCAAACTCAAGGGATGTGCCAATGAGCCCGTTTTCAGTGAGTTTAATTTTTAATAATATTTTCAAATTTTAATTATTTTTAATTAAATTTAGTTTATAAGTGATTTTACTCTTTAAAATCATGATAAAAATTATAATTATTAACATGAAATATTGTAAAATATATTATATATTGTTGTTGTTTATTTGTCCACATTGTTACAAATACATATTTTAAATTTGTATAAACTAAAGTTCATCTCAAAGTCGAAATAAATTCATCTCTTTTGCACATATATTGCTTATAATATTTACTAAACAGATCATAAATTTATTAATAATATTAATAGCATCAATTAATTATGCAAAAATTTTGTTAATAATTATAATAATATAATGATTTAGAATTAAATATATAAATAAATATCTGGATAAAGTTAATAACTTGAATTTTATTATTAATTTAAATCAATTTTATAGTTTAAATTGAAATTTATTTGAAAAAATGATTTTTTACTAATTTTTAATCCAGATTTTTAATAAAAAAGCAAATAATTTTTATTAAAATGTTACCTAAATTAATAATCATATATATAAGTCATTTGTAATTTTATTTATTAATTTTTACTCCGCATTTTTACTAGGTTCGCTCTCAGCCCTGGTATATCAACACTCCATCACAGCCATTGCCCTACCCTGCCGACTTGTGCTCCCTGAGAAGGACATTGCCCACAACGACGGACGAGGGACCCTGAGCATGACCCAGCAATTGCTCGCCCAGGGAGCAGGTACATTGAATTTTATCCAAAAAAATTTTAATTTAATAAAAATTCCCTTAAATTAGCGTGCAACGTGCTCTATTTGATCACCGTGGACACCGAGTCGCTGACGGGCCCTCAAGCCATCAGAAGGGCAGTTGCGCAGCTTTTCGCCTCCAGACCGCTTCCCAAAGCCACCATTGTGCACTTCAAGGTGGCCAGCCAGGGCATCACTCTGACGGACAACAGGAGGACCTTGTTCTTCAGGCGCCACTACCCAGTCAATACCATCTCCTTCTGTGGCCAAGACCCTGACGACCACCGGTGGAGCCAGAAGAGTGAAGATACTGGCATGCCCATCAGCTCCAAGTAAGCTCATTTTAATTTTTTTTTTGTTTATTTAATATAAGATCAATTAAACAAGGAATGCAAAAAAATTGTATTTAAAAATCAAAACAGTTGAAAAGTTGTTTTTATATATAAAAAATTTCAAAACTTCCAAATTTTAAGAATAAATACTGTGTTTTTATTTAAAATGGAAACTTTAAAAGTGCCATTGTTATTTAAATTGAAAACATTTAAGATAACAGAAAAAATAAAATATGGTAATTTTAATAATTTTATGTCAAATTAAAATATTGTTCATGAATTTTTAATGAGAAAACCAACTTAAAAAGTGGATGACTTATCAATTGACGTTCCTATACAAGATGCAAGTTTTTTGTTTTAAGTATGGAAACATTTTATGTGTAATTTCAGTATTAATTCTTACTTATAATTTTAATTTTGATACATTTTCCTCTTGTTTTATTTAAATCTTGTTTTTTTCTTTTTCAGTCGGTGCTTTGGATTTGTGGCGCGAAAGCAGGGCAGTCTGACTGCCGACAACCAGTGCCACTTGTTTGCCGAACTTGAACCTGAGCAGCCCGCGACGGCCATTGTAAATTTTGTGTCCAAAGTCATGATGACCGGCAGCCACAGTCCGTCTCTGGGTGGGAAAGTCGTCTAGCAAGAGAGAATCACCGCAGAGAGCCTTACGAATGTTATATTTGTAAATTTGCCGAGAGCATGTTAAATAATAACTGTACCAAAATCACTGTGTATAAATGTTGTTATTGTTGACGTTGGAAAAGTATATTTAAATCAGAAAAAGATTTCTATTTGAAATTGGCTGAGAAAGAAAGTCACACATGTTGAGATAATCGAAAGTAAACATAAAAATTGCGAGTCGCGAACAAAAATCGTCTATCGTGGAGTGCCGATTTTAATTATTCTATTGAATTTGTATAACTTATTTTTATCTTGATCACGTACGTATATAATTATTTTATAATTTCGCCTCTGCTACTTAAAGGAGGATTCAATGATTAATGTGTAGGCAAGCTAACAAAAATCTTTGTGCCATAACTACTGTCCGTACTGTACACACATTTACAAACACGCAGCATTTTTCATTTTATTCACGCTCTAACAGCAACTTTTAACAGATCTGATGTGTAATTCCATTATTATGATACTATAATATGAAATGTTCATTATATAAATCTCACTCTCTACGACCTCTGCAGCTCTTTTAAATCTTGATGCACATATTATTATTATGTAGTTGAAAGTATATATTTGTCGGGATAAAGTAAAAAAAATGATTAACATTGCCTTCGAAGTCAAATCAGCAGATAAATTAATATTAAAAATTAAATCAGTTGAATGAACTTATTAGGATGCAATTCTACGTATAAATGTAATAAAATGAAATATGTGGAATAAATTTATCTTCTAAAGAAAAAAAAACTGAAGTTTTACTTAAGCAATAGAATTCATTAATTTTTTATTAAATTATTATGAAGATAGTAATAATTTGATTCATTATAAATGGAAAAAAATTACGATATCCTTGGCTGAGGAAAATAGCCGATTCGTTCGTGCCTCTCCTGGACGCTGTCCTTCTTCACAGCCAGGGTCGTTGTTGAAGCCGGAGTTTTGTTCCGAGTTTCCTGCTCCTCTCTTTTCTTGTCCTCCCATTCTTTGATGTCTTCCAAACGAAGCTCAATTCTGGTCGGTTTTCTTCTGATCATTCTGTAAAAATGGATCATTTGAAAATCATTCAAGGTTTTTGTTACAGAGAGATTTTCAAGTTTAAGTAATTTTTATTTGTGCAAATGTGGAAGTTAAATTCACTAGAATCTACAAATTTGGATAAAAAAATAAACTGTTTAATAAATTGACGCTTTTATTATTTTAAATGGTGGGTATTTTGCTGTTATTGACATTACACGCGATTACACTGAAAAATTTACATATTGTAAATAAACAAAATAATACAAGATGATTGTACATATTTGTGTAAAAAAAGAGAATAACCTCCAGTACGATCCATACAAGCTTCCATCGCTCGTGAATTAATTTCTGTTAAAGCAAAGATTTTCTTTTAACGGTGCACCCTTTTTACCTTGTATCTGTATGAAAATATTCTGATTTGTCTTGAAATAAGCTGAAATTAAACTGAGAAACTGAAAACTGACAGATTTTTGTTGTTTTTGTTGATCTCCACAAATTCCACCACCTGGCGGCGACCTACGAACTTCAAACGTAAACATCCCTCCTGTGGGATGTGGGAAACTTTGCGAGGGAAAAAGACTGATCCGACTGTGCCATTGAAATTTCATAATTTTATCCGTGGAAAATCACAGCTTTTCACTCTTTTATTTCACTAAATTATGCACAGACGTGAAATCCAATGGTCGGCTTTCCGCTGCTAACGTGGACAAGCAGATTTTTGACGAGAAATACAACCTGCTTGCCGAGTCTTTGGTGCTCTTCGCGGAGACTCGAGTCCACGATGAGGAACATTTTGCACGTTGCAGAAAAGAATGACGCGGCCAAGAATATTTCGGCGATCATGTCGGGCCGAAATGCACAACGGGTACGTGCATAAAATTAATATCAATAAATTGATTAATTTTAACATTTAATTTTCTAGAGGGAAGGCATTTCGAAGTTCAACAAAATTTATCAGTTCAACCAGGCCTTCCAGGGCCAGAATTGCAACATGATCTTCACCTCGGTGTCAGGTCACCTGCTTGGCCACGATTTTCCTTCCACCTACAGGGGCTGGAACTCGTGCAACCCTGTCGACCTTTTCTCAGCACCCGTCATCAAGTCCTGCACAAAAGACATGGAGAACATAAAGGTTTTTTTTACTGAAATTGAGATTAATCAGGAATTGTTTAAACTTTGTTTATTTTAGAGGACTTTGGAGAGAGAAATTCGCGCTTGCGACACTTTGGTGATTTGGACTGATTGCGATCGAGAGGGAGAAAACATTGGTTTTGAGATCATCGACGTCTGCCTTGCGGTGAAGCCGAACATTCGTGTGTTGCGAGCAAAATTTTCGCAGATCACAAATCAAGCCATCAACAGGGCACTCAACAACCTTGTTGAGCCTGACAAGAGGGTCAGCGATGCCGTGGAAGTGCGCAGTGAGCTCGATTTGCGAATTGGTAATAAAAAAAATTCAATTTTGAACATTTAATTTTATAGTGAAAAAATTTTCTGGACAGGTGCGTCATTCACCAGATTCCAAACGCTGCGACTTCAAAAGTTATTTCCCGGTATCCTGAGCGAAGGACTGATTAGTTACGGCAGCTGCCAATTTCCCACCCTCGGATTTGTTGTTGAGAGGTACAAATCTATTCAGGACTTCATCTCCGAAAACTTTTGGAAAATTGAAGGTTTGTTTGAATTTTTAGATTGAATTTTGTGCAGTAATTTTTTTATTAGTTACGCATGAGAAGGAAGGAGTATTAGCTCGATTCAATTGGGAGGAGGGTGAACTTTTTGATGAAGATGTTGCACGAAGTTTATTCGAAGCGTGCCAGGAAATCAACTTGGCGACTGTTGAGAACGTGGAAAGCAAGCCCAAGTCAAAGTGGAGACCTGCTCCTCTTGACACTGTGGTAAGAGTATGATTCGTTAAATTTAAATGTAAGACTTATTTATTTCAACGTTAATTGACATGTTTTTTCTGTAGCATAATAAATGAATTTTTAAATTTTATTCTCCAGGAATTAGAAAAATTGTCATCGAAGAAGCTCAGAATTACTGCAGCAGAAACAATGCGCATCGCAGAAAAGCTTTACACCCAAGGCTTTATTAGCTATCCTCGCACAGAAACAAATATTTTCCCCAAGGATCTGGCTCTTGCGCCTTTAGTTGAAATGCAGGCACAGGATCCTCAGTGGGGAGGTGATTTGTCAATTTATTAATTTTTTCGTGTTTTATATTATTTTTTTATTTAGATTTTGCACAACAAGTGCTGCAAGACGGGCCAAATCCTAGACAGGGCAAAAAATCCGACCAGGCTCACCCTCCTATTCATCCGACAAAATACTCAAATTCCTTGCAAGGTATGATTCAAAATAATTTGTAAACAATTTAACAACAAAAATTATTGTCAGGTAACGAGAAAAAGGTTTACGAATTGATTGTGCGCCACTTTTTGGCATGCGTGTCGAAAGACGCTAAAGGGCACGAAACAAAAGTGCACATAACTATCGGTGAAGAAAAGGTAGTTTTGACAATTTTGAATCTTTTGAGCGTTGCAATTTGATTTTTATAGTTCAACGCAAAAGGACTGATGGTTCTGGAAAAAAATTACTTGGAAGTCTACATTTATGAAAGGTGGTCGGACAGTGAAATTCCCATTTACAATGTAGGTGAACAATTCGTGCCCACAACCTTGGAGCTCAGAGAAGGAGAAACGTCTGCTCCAAATCTTCTAACTGAGCCAGAACTGATCACTTTGATGGAAAAGCATGGCATAGGTAATTAATGCAATTTAACTGCCAGATGAAACCATTAAGATTTTTTAATTAGGCACCGATGCCACTCACGCTGAACACATCGAGACAATCAAAAAGAGGAATTATGCAGCTCTGACCAACAACAACTTCTTCATTCCCCAGCAGTTGGGAATGGCACTGGTTGAGGGCTACGACAGCATGGGCTTCCACATGTCAAAGCCATACTTAAGAGCAGAACTTGAAGCGGATTTAAAAAAGTAGGAGCATTTTTAAATATTTTAATAAGGAATTAAACATCTATTCCAGAATCTGTGAGGGCCAGAAGAATCCCCAGGATGTTCTTCGTGACCAGATAGCACGGTACAAGGAGGTCTTTGAGCAAGCGGTGGCTCAAGTATTAATTTTTTTTAAATGTTAAAACTTAAATTTTTATTTCAAAAAATTATTAGGTAAACAAGCTTGATTCGGCAGTTGAGCAGCATCTTGGGGTTCGACGTGAGGCAAATGCTGTTTTCGATCTACCTGCTCCCATTTCCAGTCAAAAGTTTGCCACTTGTCCAGGCTGTGGCCAAGACCTGATTGTCAAGCAGAAGAGAGACGGTGACACATTTTATATTAGCTGCTCGGCATATCCTGCTTGCAGAAATTCTATTTGGCTACCGTCGGCCGTACGGAACGTTCAAGTTACGGATCAAACTTGTCAACAAGTAATTTTTGAAATTTTATTTAAAGATATTTTAAATGATTATTATTGTTTTCAGTGTGGCCCAAGCACCAAAATGCTTAAATTTGACTTCAAAAGAGGGGAAATGGACGTTTTTTACCCAACGCTTGAGTGCACAACTTGTGTAATGGGCTGTGATAGAACTTTCCTCGACAATTTGGACATACGAGGTTTCAGCAGAAGAGGTTTTTTGAAATTTTTTAATAAATTAGAGTGATTTTAACTAATTTTAATATTCTGAAGGCCCTGCCAGACCAAATCAAAACGGAGGAGGAAATAATCCTCCTGACGATGATTTTGGCAACGGGCCCCCAGGACCTGGGTTTGGTCCTGGAGGTGGTGGGAACACGACATTAAGCATTTTTGGAAGCAGGAGCACGACCACCTCAACGCAATCAGGCCAAAATCAGCAGTCGAACAAGAAAAAAACAGACAGCAGCAAAAATAATGCTTGGACCATTGGACCGATGGGTGATTTCGGGCCTGATATTTTCACGGATGGAAATTCTACTGTGACATGCAGCTGCGCTAATGCACCTCCAGCTGCACAAAGGACTGTCAGGAAAGAGGGTCCAAATAAAGGTATGATGTGCTCATTAAAAGTTATCGGCAGAGTAATAATATTATTTTATTGAAAAGGTCGACAATTTTGGGGCTGTGATAAACCAATGGGCCAAGGTTGTGGCTTTTTTAAGTGGGCTGATGACCCTGCTTTAAATGGTCAACAGCAGCCAATGCCTCATGCAATCTGGGCGCCTCCACAAAGAACACAACCTCCACCACAAAGAACGCAACCTCCTCCGCCCCTGGTTCCACCAATAAATAATGATGACGAGGATGTGTTTTGTAATTGCAATGCACCAGCAATGATGAGAAATGTACGAAAAGAAGGTCCCAACAAAGGTAAATGCAAAGCATGATTTTTGCGTTCATTAAAAAACAAACTAATTTAATAATTTTTCCATCAGGACGTCAATTCTGGAGTTGTGGAGGGACAAACCGTTGTAATTTCTTCCAATGGGCAGATGAGGATGCGCCTCCTCAAAACTTTGGCCAACCAGCATTTGGTGGTCAAAATCAGACCAATGGTAATTTTAATGATTACCAAGGAAACACAAATACTCGGCAGAACAAACGAGGGGGTGGAGGTAAAAGAAAGTGCAGTATTTGCCATCAAGAAGGTAACTATTTTGTTAAAATTTAATTACATATTAGATCTGATCAGGATGATTTATTTTTTGCAGGCCATACAAAGACAAGGTGTCCTAATAGGAACTGAGAAAACCACAATCTTTAATTTCTTCTACTTCTGTCCTTCTACGAAGTCATTCAATTCCTATTCAAATAAATAGTAGAGTTATATTTTGATAACAAAATGTTTGTATTTTTTGTTCTTGACAATGAAAAACTTAATTCTAATTTGTTTTACTTTTATTTTGAACGAGGCTCTCGATAACTTTACATTATTTAACATCAACATGTATACATTTATAATAATAATCCCTTTCATTTTCCTACAGTGCAACAACATAATTATTTTACATAAACAAAAGAAATCAGCATATCAACTAACCATGAATTGAAGGAATGTTCAGATTTAAGTCATTTTATAAATTCTATATTATTTTTATATAATATTCGTATTTGCATTTTACAAGGCCCATAATACATAATACTGAACTATTCATAGGTAATGTACAGGGTTACGGAACATTATGGACATCAAAATTTTATCTGAAAGGTTGATAACATTTTCTGCGCATGGTATCACAAATGATAAGTTGTTCGAACGAATGAAGTAAACAACATAATAGACTTCAGACCAGGAAATTTAATTGTCCTTCTTCATCCTTGTGCTGGTCATTCTGTAGATAATTGAATCTCTGCCTGGATCCATGTTTGCAATGGCATCTGAAATTGCAGAATCAACTTTTTATCACAAAATTCGATGTGATAAAAACAAAACTTACAAGAAATAGCAACCAGAGACATGAAGAAGCCAATGCCGAAGAAGAGGAAAATGTTGAACATGACTGGGTAGTATTGGTCATATTCCTTCGACAGATTGTACTCGTTCTGTAATTAATCGTAGATGAGAAATATTAATTAACGAAACTTGATTTTCATTACATCTTCCTCGGCTTTGACAGAGCCAGACTCGGCCAACAAAGACCTGGTTCTGCGTGTGTGGCTCGAGTCAGTGGTGACCGTGGCAATGAAAACTTTGCCCTCGCAGTGTTTCTCAAAAATTTCATTAAGTCCAGCTAGGGCCGAGCTGAGGATTTTGGTTGCAGAAAGAACAGGGGACGACGAAGGTCCGTGGAGATCTGACAATGCATGCAGGGCAGTTGAGTCGAGCCACAGGATTCCTGGTCCATTGCTCACATCACAATATTGACTAGCCTAAATGAAAATTTTAATTATTGATAAAAAAAAAATAGCTATTTCAGAATTACATTTCTCATGACGGTCTTCAAAGCCTGCATCTCAACTAGCCAGGCCTTGTCTTCGTCCACTTTTGGATTCAGGGCTCCAATGTCAATTCCGTCTGTTACATCATCAGTCTATTGAATTAAATAATTTTATTACATGAAAAATGCCTGGATAATAGCTAAATAAAACTTACTGGTTCATCGGCAAGGGTGACTTGCTTTGCCGAAGCCTTGATCATCATCCTTTGGCCAGTAATGTGCTGCAGCTGCATCCACCACGAAGAGGGCCCCTCTCCAGAGACTGGGGACAATTGGTACTTGTGCTTGGACATGGCATTCTTGGCCACTTCCCCTGGCAGACGAGCCCAAGGACCGTCCAGAGAAAAGATGACAGCCAATCTGGCGGAGTTGAACGGAGACACCCTCAGCAAACCGGGCCAAGATGAGTCCTGTTTGAATTAATTTTTAATAAATCTGTTTTTTTTTACACTCAAATAAAACTTTAAATTTATTCAAAAATAAAATAAAATGAAGAAAACAAACCGAGTTTGTCGAAAAGCCCAGATTTGCTGCAACAACATCGGGGACTAGATCAGCCGGGAGCGGTTTGCTCGTGTCCACAAATTTAACTGACTCTGGTGAACTGAAGACGATGAACTCCCCATTGCCTAGGGCTAAAAAAGTAGCAAAATATGCATGAGAATGAGTCAATTTCAAGTACCATCTGGAAGGAGCGGTGCCGCTGACGGTGAACAAATATTCGATGCGGCACCTTGGATTTTCATTTTTGCAATAAATTTATATTAAGACATGTAAATAATATTTTAATATTTAATATATTAATGCTTTATTTAACTTACCTGAGCCCAGAACCGCGAAAATCGCGGAAATTATTAGCAACATTTTGGATCACGACGAAAAATCGAAACTATCATGTGACAACTTGAGCTTGCGCAAAATCTCGACGCTCATTGGATGAAAACCATAATTCAAAATTATAAGCCGCGAAACGTCTATTTTGTATTGCTCCGAGAGGGGGGCGTCGCCTTTGCGTTTTTGTCTCCCTCACCCTCTCTCAAATCTCTCAATCCCTCTCTCGAAAACAAAACAAAAAACTACAATAACAAAACAAACTCTGCAAGTGATCAACCCGATCGAATGATTTACTATTATTTACTTAATTAGGTATGCATTACTTGGTCCATGTGATCAACATAAATTGAATCTCTATGTATCTAGATCAACAGTACATATCAACCGATATCAACACACAAACAAAACACAGCATGACTCAAAAAACATACAAACAAGCATGGAATGTGAATATTGAAAATTATTAGCAAGTTTTCTTGAGATTTTCCTGCTTAATTTGTACAAGGAAATGAAGGATACATTTATAATGTACAAATACATAGAAAATAGAGAGGTGGTTTTATTTAATAATGCACTCTATGCAGTTGATATTATATGTTGCAACAGGGATTTCATAATTATTTAATTAATATTATCCGGCATAATATAATTAAACATTTTTAAATTATTGAAGTTCATTTAAATTGATACTTTAATCTACCTACATATTTTTCTTTTCATGCATATGCGTTCTTTTTCTTCATAAATAAGTGGCGATATGTTAATAATATTAGGCTTTTCACAAAATAATACTAATTTCCTTCTAGATGATCCCTTGAGACTTCATCTTTAAATTCCAAATCCGCATCAATGCAGAGACACGTTGGTCTGGAGTCGCAAAATAGCAAACTCTTGAAGTGGACTTAAAAAAAAAACGCTAACTAATAGACCTAGTGACGACCTAAAGAAAAGTAACCATTAGACAAGGATGATTTTTACTACTCAAATTTTTAACTCCATTCAATTTTTCAGCATGTCTTCTTACAATAACAGCTTCGTGCAATTCATGCTTGAAAATCCGCCGACAGGAGTCGATCCTCTAGCGTGCGAGGAAAATGTTGAACCTGAAAGTCCTGAAATGCCTAACCTTGTCGTGCATGAAACACAGCCTGAAGACATGGATACGCAGGAGGTGGATGAGCAGACCCAGGACAAACCACCAGAAAATCTAAAACAAAAGTTTAAGTGCGGAAGCTGTTCGAAAGAATTTGTTAGCAAAATGCAGTGTAAAGTACACGAAAAGCTACACCTTCAAAACTTGGGGTTGATAAACAAGTCAAAGCTGCAGGAATTGACCTCTAAAAAATTCATAGTGACCAGCGCACCCTCTTCGAGCTCAGACTCTTTGCTGTGCCACAAGTGCAATGTCTATTTCCGGACGTCGACGGACAAGCAGGATCATATTTGCCAACCTGTCGGAGATGAGGAAAAGGAGGATGATAAACTTGATGCCAAGAGGTGTTTGGGCTGCGGAAAAGGGTTCTTTGGCAGAAAGAAATCTCAAAAGTGTTTTAAGTGTTGGAGAGCTGACCGAGTAAAGAAGAGGCGGGCGCAAGAAGCTGGGATCGCCACTTTCGAGGAAATCAGGGAGATAAACGGTCAGAAGGTCAAAGTGATCAGGGTCAAAGACCTGGCGCAGTTGTCTGATATTGAGGAAGGTGAGAAGAGAGAACTGCAGAAAAAGAAAAATTTCAAGAAAAAGACCAAGAAGACGCGCAAACAGAAGAAAAGGCAAATAATAGTCTCATCCGACGAGGAAATTGTCCCGAACCAAGAAACTCCTGACCAAGACGAAGAAAAAGTTGCTACAGCGCCAAAAGTCACTTTCAGATGTGTATATTGTCCAGCAGTCTTCTACTTCCCTAACATTCTGCAGCAGCACAGTGTGACGGAACACAATAGGTTCCACTTTTGCAAATTTTGTTTGCTTACCTTCAAGAACAAAGATCAGGAAAACATCCACAACATCGAATGTGGCAAAACCAAAATTTCCGCCCATCAGAGAGACTTTCTGAAGTTTTCATTTGACTTGGCATCCTTGACCTGTACCTTGTGCAACCTGACCTTTGCTTTAGACGCCGAGCTTCTATACCATGCAATTAATGCTCATAAAATGAATCACCGAGATGAGGAGAAGGAAACAAAGGTGGCAGAAAAGCCAAAACCAGTTGACAAGGAAACCAAGGGCGCTCAAGAGCTTGTTCCAAAATCCATGGATTTCAAGTGCTGTGGAATTACGTTTTCCTCGAGAGAATGGCTGATTGACCATAAGAAGAAAATCCACAGGGCCGTCAGCGAGCTGAATTTGATTAATACCGAGATTGTAATCCGCACGGAAAAATGTGAGGTGCTCTCGAAAGTTATCAATAATTTGAGCATCGTACCACTCAACTGCAGATTGTGTCCTATGATAACTTACACTGTGAATGCGCACCGTCTTCATGAGAAAAGCCACCAAGTTCTTATGTCTAAGAAAAACAAAAAGTAATGTGTCTAGCTTGTGATGTGAACTCTTAAAAAATAGTTTTTCTTTGGAATTGAAATTGCCAATAAAATAATAAGGTTTTCGTATTTTTTAGCTTTTTATTTTGTTCAATTGACACTCACAGAGTGAAAAACGTAGCTTGGACTGTAGAACTGAACTCAGTATGGACGTCTTCCTGCTGCTCGACGGGTACACTTTCAGAACCTGTGATTTGCTCAAAGGAACTTTCTGCCTCTTCATCCAATTCAGCGTGGGTGATAACCTCGTGCTTTTTGACCATTGAACGACTTTTGCTGATGAAATTGCAAAACTGGCATTTGTAGACGATCAACTTTTGACCAACGCCTGCCTCCTTTCCATGCGTATCTATGTGCGCTTTCAAAAATAGCTTGCTAGAAAATCTAAAAATTAAAATGTAATCAAATTATGTAAAATAAATTTGCGTTTTTGTGTTCACCTTTGAGGGCAAAGTTCACATCCAAAGGGTTTCGAATGGAAGACTTCGTGAGTTCTTAAAATGGCACTGCTTCGGAACTTTTTCGGACACTTCTGGCAGTGGTAGGGAGTTTCTCCAGTGTGGATGCGCATGTGGATTTTGCAAGCAGTGCTGCTTCTGAACTCGGCGTTGCAGGTGGCGCAGTGGAAGGGCTTCTCTCCAGTGTGCTGCATGATGTGTCGCCTGAGCTGACTCTTGGTGGCGAATTGTTTTTCGCAGTGGTCGCAAGTGTGCAGCAGTTCCCTCTGATGGACGCCCAGGTGACTCTTCTTGATGTGGCAGCGCATGGCCCAGGTCGAGGTCAAGTTTGCGCCACAGAGAGCACATTCCAGCAAGCCATCCACACCAATGGTTTTTATGTTTAGATCCTCAGGGCCGTGTATGACGTGCTCCTCGAAGTGATGTGTCAAAGCATAAATGTTCTCAAATTGCCTGTCACAGATTTTGCATCTGAAAAGTTGAAATTAATAACATTGATTATTTAATTTAAGGAAGATCAATTGAAATACTGGAACCAATAAACATTGAAAATAATTTTAATGAAATACTTTTTATCTACCATTTAATATGAAAATTCCTCATAAACAATATTCTCACCTGAATTCCTCAAAAGGAGTCGGGCCCTTTTGTTGCAGGCCAATTTCGGGACTCTCGTGGCAGTCGTGCATTTCATCTCTATGCTTGACCACCTCATCTATTGAGGCAAATAAGTGCACACAATATGGGCACTTGTAGTGCCACTGTGTAGAGTGTTTATCTTTCAAGTGTGTGATCATGTTTCTCTTGTGATAGTACCTGAATAAGATTTAATAAATTTTAATTTAAATTTAAATAAAAAAGATCTAACCTTGCACAACACATCTGGCACTCGTAAACAGTGGTCTTTTCATGCACCACCATGTGGTTCCGCAGGTTGACGGCGCCATAGAAACTTTTGGCGCATTTGTGACACTGAAAGCGTTTGTTTCCAGTGTGTCGGATGAGGTGCCTCTGAAGTGACGAACGGAAAGTGTAAGTGTTGCCACAAATCTGGCAGCTATTGCAGCTCCTAACTTGCTCGTCATCATCAGGATTACATTTGTGGTGCCTCAGCTTCTGCTTGCTCTTGAAACTTTTGCCGCAAGAATCACAAAGATAGGGGGTGGTCAGGTTGTGGGTCTCGTAATGTGCAGCCAGACTGTACTTGCTGATGAAGCTCTTGCCACACTTTTCACACATGTTGGCCTGCGATTAAGTAAGAAAATTAAATAAATTTGCTAAATAAATTAAATTATCTTTACATGCCTTAAAATCAGGATGCTCTTTCCTGATGTGTTTGAGCATTGTGTTGATTCCCTTGAATTTAATGCCACATGAATCACAAGTCGAGCCGTGAGCTTCAATTCTGTGAGCATTCATCTCTTCAGTGGTGGCAAACAAAGTGTCGCACCACTTGCATTTCTTCTTCTTGTGCACTGAGTAACAGTGCCTGGCAAAGGACTTGAAATTCAAGCTGCTCTTTCCACAATCCGAACAAACAAAAGTCTTTTTTTCTTCCCTGGTAGAAATCTCGACTACTTTCGGAGTCTATTATTTTGAACCATTTAAAAATTAATTTTCTCTTAATTACATTTAATTATTCACCTCCTCTCTCAATGCTACGATTGGCAACTCTGTTTGCTGTGCAGCGTTTGACATTTCACCCGCAGCCTCTTTGCTACTCTCAATATAAAGCCTCAATTTCAACTCATTTTCATAACTGAGTTGGCTTAGTCTTTCAATTGCCTCTAATGCTTGAACGCAGTTGCTACAAAGTTTCAAGGGCAGAGTATCATCATAGGAAACCTGCAATGGAAAAAATACACATTAACAATGCAGGATTCCTACAGGAGTTTTTACCCTTATAGAAAGGTGTCTATGGATTTTGCTGACCAATTCCGAGTTGCCATCATCATCAAATATGGGCGTCATTATCGGCGTCGATTTCAGACAAACTCGACATAATCCATCTAATTTTTTAATGTCTGTATAGGTGGATTGATCTAGAACTCTCAAATTTGGCTCAGAATTTAACCCAACTACACAGACAAGGCTTGGTTTTGTGATTTCCTCCATTGGTGATACATCAACTAAATCAAAGAAAAATTATTAATTTTGATAATGAAAAGTTGTAGCTTGATATTAACTACATGGGCCAGTTCTGCTGATATTTGAGCATCCTTCTGTTATAGAAATAATTGACGAGTTTAGTTGCATCTTCTTGGCTGGGACATTGATTTGCTGTAATTTATTTGAGTACATTAAGTTTTAAAAATAAAATTTAATATAAATTTTTACCCCTCGGAATGACGGCGAACTAGAATTTTTCGTTAAAAACACAAAGGTCTTTTTCCCCTGTTCTATTGACGGAAGGCTCTTGAGATTTAAGTCACTGTGAATGAGCTGTAAGATGAAAACTTTTGTAAATCTAATGTAGCAAAATATTTGCAAGCAACTCACTGGAGAACCAGGCACTTCCACAATCTTTTTTGTAGCAGATTCAATGTTTGCTATTTTGACACTCCTTATGTTTCTTCTCAGTTTCAAGTCATGCTAAAAAAAATGTAAATTTTAAATGGAAAAAAATCATTAATTATTTCTTTCTCTTACAATGTTTGATTCAGTCAAAGCAGAGGTTGTGACTCCCATAGACGCCTAATCACAAAATTATATATGGTTGAAAAAAAAAACATTTGTGATAAATGAAGGGTAAATTACCACAGCAGGGTTTGGAGAATTCTTGAAAACGGTTGGTACAGCATCTCCCAAGAGCCTGGTCCTCATACCCGCAAATTTGAAGCATTTCGTCTCAAAATGGTCAGAGCAAACAATGGAGCTTTTTTGGATTGGACTGTTTGGTGATTTCAGGTTGTCGCTTCCAATCGATTTCATCCACAAACTCATGAGTTCCGGATTCATAATAGGGAATCTAAAATAAAGAAAAGTAATTTAGAGTTTTATTTTAATTATCATTGATTTTTAATTAATTTTACAAACCTGTGGAATGTCAGTGCAAGATTTTTATTTTGTTGGACCATTTCTGGTCTGTTTTTGCAGCCAAAAATAACGCAAGTTGGCATTTTCGCTGCTTTTTAAGATAATCTTAGACAATAATATTTTTGGAAGAAAAATAAAATGATAAAATTATGCTGCATATTAATTACATGTCATTGAACCTGCAGCAGAAATATGTAAACAAACAAACAACAGAGACAAATTTTACCCCCACCCCGCACCCCCCACTGTCTATTTCAATGCTGCCAACAAAAGCAGCTAAATCTTTTTATGAAAATTCTAAAAGTAAAACAAACTTTTATTTGCAATAAAATAAGAAATATATATAAATTAATTTTTAAATATTAATTTTTTCTAATAAATCTGTGTTTTATTTTTGCTAATACATATACTAATAATTATATAGCCTTTAAATATTTAAAATTAAATTAAAATTGATTGGCAACAGTGCAATCATCTGGTTCAAGAAGAAACATCTGGTTCTTGTTGATCCGACTTCTGTCATTTTTGTAGAAAGTTTACTCGCTCGATTTTTTACTTCAAATTGTATTAATTGTATGTGTTTCAAAACCGGCACCAAAATCTGCTTGGAAGGACTTTACATTTTTTTAAATTTATTATTTATTCCAATCTTTGTAAATACTCGGCTGGATAATTTGTGCTAAAACTGTGCTAAAAGGAAACGTGCGAAGTTAACATCAACAAACGCTTTGTGAGCCTATTTTTAATTCTTTTTATATTCTGGACCGTGAAGTTTGTGAGCAAAATATAACAAGAAATGAGTGAGTCGAACGCTGGTAAACAATGTGGTCCTGCACTAGGCGTGCCGAGAGTAGAAACGCCAGAAGAGAACGAGAAGAAATCGGTCGAAGTCAACAAGTTGCCATCAACTTCAAAAACTCTGTCGGCGGTGCCAAAGACTTTGATTTCGACAGAAAATGTTGGATCTGCCACAGGTAATAAAAAATTAAATGATTTTCTCAATTTCGACACAATATTTTCTTATATAAATTGATATAAATGAAATTTGAGAGCACTAAAAATAAAAAATAAAAATTAGTTGTTTTTAATTTTTAAATAGAGCTTCATAAGATTATAAAAAAATTTAGTTTCTAATTGAAGCGTTCTGAATTTATTTGTATTAGAAAATATGTCAGCTAGTTCATCAAAAATTATTCAATCTTAAAAAAGGGTAAAAATGCAACAATAACGCATAAAAAAATAAGATATACATTTATAAAAAGTTATACAATTGTATATGATCTTAAATAATATGTATAAATTGTAATGATAATATATCATAAAAATCTGCACAGAATCTATTGGTACATTTTTTTTTAATTTTAGTCAAAAAAAGTATCTTGAGAGTTGAAAAAAAATCCAATTTGATTGAAAATGTTCCTCGGTGGTGCGCCGGTCAATTTGGCCCTTTTGCTTTTGTTAGTTGTCGGGGTGGCTGTCGAGGTGGCAGCAGGTGCGGCGGGGGTGGCCGCTCTCGCCACCCTCGCAAGGCTCTCGAGCCAAGGGGTGGTTTGGTTGGTTGCGAGCAGCACTCGCTCGATCTCGCGCGCCCTGAGCTGCAGCCGCCTCCGGATCGATTCGGCCGCCCCCGAAGTGGAGTAGCTCGGTGCACCGGAGGGGCCGACGGGGGCGGCGCCCCCGAGAGGGACTTGGGCAGAGCGATGCCCTGGTGCAACTGCTGCCTCTCCAAACAGAGCGAGCAGGAACACGACCCGCCGACCGCAGGTACCACAAAATCGTATTTAAAACAAAAACAAGCAGCGCTCGGACGTGCGCCCGCGCTTTTGTGATATTGATGGATATTAATGGTCCATCAACCGAGTCTTACAGTTAATTGCGAGCCTCGCTTTTTTGGGAAATCCATTTGCGGAATGTGATTCTATCTACAGTAGCTCACTGGGTCGCTTTCCTCCAATTTTACGTAATTAATTTTATTCTGGAAGATCTTTTTGAGTGAGGAATTTGATATAAATGTAATTATTCAAACTACGTCTTTTTTCATTTTTAATTTATTTTTAATCATTTTTCTGTGAGATCTTTTTCTAATTTCAATTTCAGATCAGATCATGCTTTAGGGAGAATCTAAAATTTATTTTGTAAAAACTTTTTGTTTTTCATTTCAGTGATGTTGATTAAAATAAAATTTTTACGCTCATATCTTATTTATAATTATCCTCTTTTTTGTAAGATTCATAATTTGCTGTATTAAGAGTTTCAAATATTATTTTTAATCAAGCTCTAAAAATTTTTAACTTATTTTCTTGATATTTTTTAAAATAAAAACAAATTATGCATTTAAAAAATAAATTATATAATTAATAATTTTTTTAAATTTACGAAATTTCTTTATTTCACCTCACTTTTTTTACTTTTTATTCTTTCCAAAAAGATGTTTTTACAACATTTTTAATGAAAAATTTATTTTTTCAACTGACCTAAACAGTCTATGTCTTTGATGCAAACATAAATTTTCCAATATTGAACGCCTGTAATTTATTTTATTGCTTCATGAGCTTCATTTGACTTTATCTTGTTTCCTGCTAGTTTTGAATAGCAGCCAAAAAATTTAATACCAACAGAAAATAAATGAAGTCTCGTTCAACTCTGGAAGGTATCGCTGGATTTCAAACAATCATGAAAGTTTAAAAAAAATTCTTTTGAATTTAAATAGAAAAAACAACACATTGGCCTAAAAAATAACACATAATTTTGGGAATGTATTAGAAATTAGATCCATGTAAATTTTATTTTTGTTCTAAAAATTATTGAAATTATAGCATTGTGGAAAAATAAAGTGCTGAAATATCTCCTTTCATACGAAAAAAAACATTTGAAAATGTAGATCATCTCACTTCCTGTCGGCAAAAATATTTTCAAGACGGTTTCCTGTTATTCAACATCTGAAGACAAATTTAAAATTCAAATTGGAGCCAGCAACGTTTCCTCTCCAGTGAAAAGCAAAGTTTCCGGCAATCCGAGAAAATCTCTGTGGTGGTTGCGTTTTCATAACTTTTGCTGCCAAAGTTAAATTGTTTCCCGGCTGGCGTGTTTGGCCCCCCGGGATTGTGGGGTGGGCTGTTGCGTAACGACGCCCGGAGAACGGATTGAATTGATGGGGCGCACTCGACCTGACCACCAAGCACATAATACGGTCTCGCAGCGCCATGACAAATCACCCCTCCAACTGCTCCTTGTGCGAGGAGCACTTAGTCATGAGGAGCAGTATTGAAAATCGATGGTCATCTGACCTCGTCCCTCGCTAACGCCGAAGCTCATTAGTTAATTGAACGAATAGATTGCGCTGTTGTTTCAGCCGAAGCTCGACCAGCCGATGACAAATTGCTGGCAACGGGTGTTTGTTTTAAGCCACACCTGCTGGACCATTAATTCTCGCGCGGCTAATGCAATTATTCTCTGTTATCAAGAGCCGCGCGTTGGTGGAGCTAAATTGGTTTCATTAATGCTGCCGGCGCGGCATTCCCGGGCCTAAAGATAACAAATGGCTGAATTTAGCCTAACAGGAGCAATCGAGCATCTCATTATTTCGGTTTGAAATTGCACATTTTAATTTAATTTCGCGTATTTTTATCTTAACGTGATTCAAAGCTATTATATTGTAGTTAATTCGATCAAATTGTTACAAAAACTCATCGTTGAAAGAAAAGCCATCCAAAAGTTTTATGGATCAAATTATGCAATTTAAATTTATTTTTCTTTTTATTCTCAATTTAAATAGATTGGAATGATACAACGCCTTACATGAAAATATTAAAGAAAAATTTAGTTGGCAGTGAAAATGGTAATTTTATTGTAAAATCTAGTTTTAATTTCTTATAATTAGACGCAACGTGTTTTTCGTTATATTTTGTTTTTTTAACTTTGAAGACTTTAGGAAAAAAAAACAAGTACTTATAAATTCCTCGACATGAGTTTAAGTAATCTTACCTCCCTAACAACTCAATAAAAATCACTCTTATGTAATTATTTCCATTACTTATTTAATCCGTCTTTCTCTTTTCACATAAAATATTACTCGTTGCTTCCAAAATTGTTTTTTTTTTTAGCAAGTAATATTAATTCAAACAGAATCTGGAATGCAATAAACAAAGCAAAAACGACACCTAGCTTTACACCTACATTACAAAGAGGACATTGTTGTTTATTTCAGAATATTTTTTGATAACATTTAATTCTTGGAATTTAATGTTTGCTTGAAATTTATAACAAATACTTTAAGTAAAGAACTATTTATCTGTGCAGTATCTAAAAATTTAGAATTAAAATAATAATCAATGAAACAGAAATATTTAGAATTTTCACAGAATTTTGTCAATATTTTCTGTTTTTAGGATTCCTCTATTAACAAAAAACAGAAATCAGAGTTCCAATATTTCGAATTTCACAGCCTATATTTTTATAAATTTATTTATAGTCCACAAACCCAAACTGATCTGGATAATTTTTCTACTAAAACCTTCAAACCTTATTTATGATATTATTTATTTATTAAAATGATTTAAACAGCTCAATAATTAATCAGTTTTTTACTTCTTTCAACTAGTTTTATCCGATTTTCTCTTTGGGATTATAGGGAATAAGTAAAAGGACATAGAAGTTATAACTAAGATCTGCTATTTTGTTCTGGTCAAATTGCAGGCAACCCTCGGAACAAAGTGGCGCTGCGTCCGGGTCACTCGCTGATGGATTGGATCCGACTGGGCAATTCGGGCAAGGACCTGACCGGCGTGGGCGGCGTTTCGCGGGACGTTGCTGCGTCCGAGCTGGCCAAGCACAATCGGCAGGAGGACGCGTGGTTGGCCGTCAAGGGTGAGTGAAATTTTTCGTCGGCGAAGGGCAGCGCACCTTTAAAGGCCCCGATCGATTCGTCGGCAGTTACACACTGGCAAAGCTTTCTGCAAATATTGAGGAGCGCAGCCGGTGGAATTTCACGTTGGCTCGTCGCTGGATGTGCGATAAAACTCTGTTTGCTCTCTTTCCGCCAATTAGCCTCGCCACTCTTTGATTAACTTGTATGCGACTTTCTGGCTTTTACGTCCGCGTGTGTCCTTCGAACTTAAGTGTTTCACCCAAAAAAAGCTTTCAGCCTAGCTTGCGATTGCATAATTCAATTAGAAGCTCTTTCCATTATTCATGATTTTTTTATGCAAAAGCTTTGGTAAAAAAAAACTTTGAAAGAAAACTTTGCAGTCTCTCTGAAAAATTAATCCCCAGCACAAATAGTTTTTTATTATGCAAGTGGACTTTTTGTTGCTTTACAATATTTTTTTTTTTTAAATCCATCTAAAAGCCTTCCACTCATTTATTTAGAAAATTTCCAGGCATTCTTTATTTAAATTTTTTTTATTTAACTCTTAAAAGTGCTCTCTTTGCAATTTGGTAACTTTTTTAGAAAATAAGGTTGGGGATCGTGACTTGCTGATAAAGCTGTTTTTTTTTTTAATTATTTTATAAACACAAATTAGCAAGGAATAATCATTTTTTTTTTCAATTTTTCTGGTTTCATCATCTAATTTCATTATTTTTTTTCTCTCAAATTATTTGAACAGTTTCAGCTTTTTCAATAAAATTTCCAATCACAGCCATTATTTTCCTCCAATCAGGGCTTCCGATGTCAATCATGCACAGTTGATTCCAACCAAATTTCCTCAATTTTGGAGAAAAACTGTATTTTAGGGTTGATTGGGGTTGATTGAACTTGGAAATCAATTTATGCTCATGAAAAAAAAACATGTTTTACTTGAACTCGTGTGTTTTTATCAAAACGATTCACAAAGTTCTTTTGAAGCGAACTGTATTTTCGCCGACAAAAGCGCGTTTCCAGTTGATAAATCTGTAATATAAATATGAAAGTAATGTCACGTTTGACACCCCCCGTTCCTGAATGCCTTTTTGCCTGATTGATTTTCTCCTCGGACGTTTTACAAGAAACGCCGACGAGCTCGGCAATTTCCCGTGGCTGTCATCAGCAGCAAACTAACTCGACTCGATTGATTTGCGCGCGCGCCCCGGCATGAATATTTGACGCCAAAGTTCACTCACGCTTTTGCTTACAGGTCGCGTGTACAACGTGACACACTACATGGATTTCCACCCCGGAGGCGTGGAGGAACTAATGAGAGGCGTCGGCAAAGACGCCACTAGTCTCTTTAATCAGGTACGGCCGGAAACTTTGCACCCTTGCCCAAGTGTGCCTTAATAATGCACCGACTCTGCGTGCCCGGCTCATGCTCACGTTCTCTTCACACATAAAGCCTGATGTACCGTGGCCCCACCTCCACGACACCCTTTGCTCAATGCGAGCCTAAGTGACGTTTAATAGACCTGGCAAAAAGTCTTGTCCATCCCAAAAAGAAAATAAAAGAAACCCATTTTTTTATCTGTTAATTCATTTCTATTTTTAGAATTTTCTGATTCAATTTTAAATTGAATTGATCTTCATTTTTGACGTCGTTTAAAAATGTATTTTAATAAAAATTATCTTAATTTTAGGTGCACGCTTGGGTGAATTACGAGTCAATACTTCAGAAATGCCAAGTTGGGCCTTTACGCGGTGGACTTTTATTTTCGGCCAGCAAACCAATGCAGCCCCTGAGTCAGCTGCTTTTCGGGAAGAAAGGTGAAAAAGGAGAACCATTATCAGGAAAAGCCATAGGTAATAACGAGTCTTATGCTAAAAATATTTTAATTTTCTTTTTATTATTAATGATATTTATTATGAAATTCAACTGTGAAAAATGATATTTATTTTAAGCATAAATCCAACTCTCCCCTGACTTTCTTAATTCAAAGGAAAATAATTCAATTGTGGTGCGACTTCATGCATTGCAATTTTTCCCCTGAAAGTGCAAAGTAGTTCCCTTGAAATGATTTCCTTTTTGTATTTTAAATATTTCATCATTTTATAATGGAAAATTCCTACAATCCTTGTTAATTCCAGAAAACAAGTCGTCTTCGGCCCCTAGTTTATCATCAGCAATCATGCCCAAACCTAGCAATCCTCGCCTCGACTGGTTCCAACAGTTGGGCGCCATCACTCTGGTTTTATACGCCCGCCAAGTTTCCCGAGGCCTGGGTAAACTGCCTCCTTGGGTCCGAGTTACTCTGGACGAGGGTGGCACCAAAGTGGGCATATTTGTGTGCAACGTCGGCGGAGAACCAGGCCAAACGTACGAAGCAAGACTCGAGCTGAGCGCTCCTGTTCGATGGCCCTGCTCAGCTGTCAGGGTGCATCCTGACTCTGGGAAGGTGGAGGTTGTGTTGAAGAAGGAGACGGAAACGCTGTGGAAGTCGTTCGGAACTCCGGCCGAAGGTCACGGCGCCATCTCTCAAGACTTGCAGGCCGAGAGTGAATTCTGGCCTGTGTACTTGGCTGACGAAACACAAGTTAATCACAACACAAAGGTGCTCAGGTTCCAGTTCTCGGACAGGGTGTGTTTTACTGTGCCTGTTGGACACCACTTTAGAGTGCAAACAAATATCCAAGGTATTTAATGAAGGAAAATGATTTTGGAAAAAAATTAATTATTATTGTTTGCAGGTGTGATAGTTGCAAGAAGTTACACCCCAATTGTGCCTTCCCTCAAATCCTCCATGTACGACTGCGACTCAATTTACCTCATGGTCAAATCATATCCTGACGGAGCTCTCAGCTCGGTGCTCTGCAAGTTGGAAGTTGAGCAAAAATGCATGGAAGTAAGTCGGCCGGTTGGAAACTTTGATGTGCGTTGTTTGAATGAAACGAGTCGACTTTTCCTGGTGGCTGCTGGCACAGGAATAACTCCTATGATTAGAGTCATCGTGCACATCTTAGCAGATGGCAAGAAATACTGGTATGTTTTAATTTTAAATTAGTGTTCATTAAATTTCAATTGTGTATTTTGCAGCAAAATGATCAAACTCGCCTTTTTCAACAAGACGGAGAAAGATATTTTATGGAAAGAAGAGTTTTCATCTTTATCGAAAGAGGAGCCGCGGTATTACTCATCAGTACATGATTGATTTTTATTTAAAACTTTTTAACTTCAGATTTTCAGTGCTCAACATTTTATCCGAAGCAAGTGATGGATGGCCCGAGGCTCGGGGTCGAATAAGCAGAAATATTTTAGAATCTTTGCTGGATGTTAAAGAAGGCCAAAGCACGTCCGATGCTCTTAAACAGGAACCAACATTTTACTGCATATGTGGTCCAACTCCTTTCACTGAAAAAGCGCAAAGGTAGATTTAATTAATAAGTGCAAAGAAAAATAATCTAATTTAAATTAATTAGCCTCTTGAATGAAATGGGTGTCCCGAAGAGCCAGTACCACTGTTTCCTTGGCTGAGTAGAAAAGAAAGGCACATACGCAGAGACTGACATCTGTTTTAAGAAGACTACATCAACCAAATGAATGTTTCTCAAGAAGTGACCAACCTGCATTGATGTGATTATCCATAGATATAATAATAAATGATCCACAACGACTCTGCACAAACCCAGTTAAAATTTGCGCCATTCTGGGTAGGATGTTCTTACCTCAATAGCTTTACTCATGAATCTTCCTGACTGATTTATTGTTGATTTTATTGTGTGTCAACTTTGTGTCCGTAGCGAGCCTATCAAAAATTATTAAAGTTGAAAATCAAAGTCATTTTAAAATAACCTTTAAAAGCACTAATTAGTAAGAGATGAATGTTAAAGCACCAAATTTTTGTTTAGAAAAATTAAAAATTAGGCAAACAAAATGTGGATATGTATGCTAAAGTGGCTTATCACCTTCTCATACACTATACTGGTTGTGAGCTAGTATTGTAGGCTCTGTGCATGTCGGTGTTGTTTAAGTTGTGAACGCCCCACTGGAATCTGGAGCTGCGGATCAATGCGTCATTGTGAAGCAGAAGAGGCCATGAATTGTGATAAATGTATTAAATGTCAAAATATGAGCAACCTGATAATTATTTTGAAAATAAATGATTTTGCAATCCAGGAGTTGACAAGGATAATAATGTTCTTTTTTAATATAAATAATACTCATTTTATACATTATAGAAAGATTTGAAATATTTTGTGTGAACTCTTCTTTTTATTTCTAATTAAAATTTTATACAGAATCTAAATTTATGAGGTGGAAAATTAAATTAACCATTAACATGTGATCATGTGCCGAAAAGTTTTTTAACTTATAAACGTATCTGGATTAGTTGCGACTTATAACATGCAGTTTTATAAAATACAAATCGATGGTGGTTGAGGGAGCGTATGAGGTGCTGCTCTCTCATCAAGAACTAGTAAAGCTGTAAAAGAAGCAGCCCGCGAGATGGAGATGTAGATTTCACTTGAGAAGTATGCAAAACTTTAAAAATTTAGTAAAAAAATAAAACAGGAAGAAAAAACTAAATTAAGAATCAACGCGATTTGGTTTTGTAATTAATATCAAAGCTTTTCAGCAAGGGAAATTTATTCATCAGGCTCAAATTATGTAAGCGCTGTTGGAAAAAAAATGCTCCCAAAGGACGGCATGAAAAATGCACGTGCTGTGCTCCGAGGTAAACTGCCGCGGAAGCTTTTTCGGCGTGCGCGCCTCTTTAGCGCAAAGTCTCGTGGGAGATGCAAAAGAGTGTAGTGTCCAAAACAGGCCATTAATTCAAAGCGAGGCGACATCCTGCCGGACCCAATTACGCGTCGGCTCAGCCAAGTTAGTCGAACACAGAATTGCTTTGCGCCACCCTCGACACGAATAAATTTCATCTTGTGGCGTTTAACTTCTGTTAAATTGCTCCTAAAATTGCTTTACAACAAAAAAAAAATGCAAAATTAAAACAAAATCTGGAATTTTTAATTATAAAATATATTCACTGTATTTTACTGAAAGAAAAACCCATGCAGTGTGTGATGGCACTTGACAGATTCGATCAATGAATTCATTGGGTAAAGGTGAAGTAATCAAAGTTGTTTAATTATGTTGAGCTGGAGCTTGAGCAGCTGAATGCTCTCTCAAAAGCAGAATTTTAAGAGTGCGCCGCTCGAGTTGTGCGCTTTTCCAAAGTTCGAATTGCAGCAGTTCTCATGTGTGCTCGCAAACGAACGAGGGACGGACTAATCACTTAGTTTTATAGTTTGCTCCACTTTCAGCGCGAGGCGCACAGAGTGTTCTAATTAGACGCCAGCTCACATCACTGGGCTCAATTACTCAAACAGCGGCGCGCGGTGCAGCGGAAATATGCATAATTTTTTCCCAATCATGGCAAGGACGAGCAGGAAAGGGAAGAGCTCGGGAGGAAGGGGATGCCGTGTATGAGCATCCAACCAACTCGACTGGAGCAGGGAATTAGCGCGGCCTCGTTAGGCAAAAATCCGTGAGCTTATCGGAAAGAAACGAGTCCTCAGGCATGCCGCGTGTTTGTGGAAAAATGACCTTTTCCAGTAAAAGAGAAAGCTTTGGATTTGAAATTAATTATTTACGGATGAAAGTTGAAATAAAAAATAAAATTTTGAAATATCTTGCAAATAATTAGTTAATAACTGGCGCAATACAATTATGCAGCCGGCTTAGCAAGCAGGAGAAGCTGGTTGCATACTTTTGCAATTTCTCATTTGACAAAGCTAAAAAACTGCAACATTAAAGAAATATAAATAATATATAATGAACAATTTTTCACCACAATCTTTACAAGCTTAATTTTACCTGCGAAGAACAAAATAATCCTATTTGAAAATTTGTAATTAATAATAAAAAAGAAGAAAAAAAAACAGCAATACCAGTGTAGGTCACTATCTGAGACTATTTTATGGAGTTGAAAAATTAATTATAAATCTACAAATTTTGAAAATTGCTCCGATAAAAAAAAAATCTTACAAAAGTAGCGATATAAAAATTTTACAAGAAAATTTCAAAGTGTTACTGGAGTTTTCTCTGAAGTCTGAAATATACCAGATCAGTCATTTTTCTAAAAGCGGGTCAAGCCTGTTTGAGCCAATACGCAGATAGAGAGCATAATTAGACTGGCGCTCGGCCGGATCCAGCTGGCCGATATCAGCGTGTGTTGTTGTTGACAGAGCGAGAGCCCAAACATGCCATTGTGCCGCTGCACATCGATTCTCCGGCGCTTGTCATAATAAGCAGCACGTCCTAATTAGCAGCACACGGTGCTCGTATTCAAATTCCATTTGCATCCGAAACCACGTCTTTGTCCTTTTTCTTCTCTTTCTTTCTCCGAAAACGACGAGTAATAAAAAAACCCGTCGTTGATTCTTTTAAGAGTTATATAATGATGAGATTGCTTTTTCGGCCGCCTTTGTGTCACCCACGGACTGTCACCGCAATTTGTGCGTTTGGAGCGGATAGCTAATTAGGCGGTGAAGAGCAGCCGGCGCTCGGGTGTCATAGACACAAAAACAGAAATAGCTTCCTCGCTTTGTCACCCGTTGTCTCATTTGAGGATCACTTTTCAATTTTTAACCTTCTTAGATAACTTGCTAGCATTTTTTTATTTTGAAAATGTTTGCAAAGTATGAAAAATAATAAAATCTTAATTAAAAATTTATATTAATTTAATCGTCGTGTTGATCAAAAAATGGTTTTTTGCAACTTCTTCTTAGCTTGAAATTTAAGATGAGATTGAGATGGGAAAATAGGAAATCAACTTTTTTACCTGATTTAATTATCAGATAAAGTACAAAATTTACTAATAAAGCCTAGATATGTCTTTCATGAGCGAAAATTGGTGTTTTGGAATCTCATCTAAAACCCCCACCACCGACCCAGCTTGGTAGTCGCGAGCCACCAGCTCACCTCCGTGGGCCATCTGAATGTTTATTGAACCTTCAAAGAAATATAAATCATCTGAATCAATTACTATAATCCATTAAGATCACCTGAAGTTTAACTGAATAACGATGTTATTATTACATCTGTTTTTCATCTTAAGAATAAAATACTGTTTGTCATGAAACATATTTCAAGTATTTCACACAAATATATCAACCCAAATTTTTCTTTAAAATTTAGTGTTGCACTTCAAACCCTATCACATTCGCAATTTTCTTTATATAAATTTATCTACCAATAACTTATTTTGGGTAACAATTTATTTATTTTGTTCTTCGTTATGTAGAAAGAATTTTTGCCAGAAAAGTTTTTGGATGAATAGCCCTAATCTTCTCCGCAGAAATAAAGAGCTTGAGCAAACTAAAAAAACTTTCTCTCTTTTCCTCAAGTACATAAATGTTAGTGCGCCGGAATATTATATATTGGCTGGTTATTTGCTCGGTGCGCTGCAATGAGAGGATTTTTCTGCAAAACTTTCGCTCATACATCATCGTTCTCCTCTCCGTTCTTTTTGTTTGCCTCTGCGAGCATTTGTGCGAAATAGAATAAAAAAATCAACGTCTCACTCGCTTGCTTTCTTGTCGTTGACCTTTCCTCGTTTTTGCACCCTTTGGCGCTGTTCTCTCTCTTTCCAGCATATTGAATTGAAAAGCAGAAGAGCCCCGGCGGCGGCGGAGAGTGCGAAAATAAAACATATAAACATTTCCTCGCCGCCCGCCCTTCTTAAAAACGCCCAAGCACACACAAAGCCGACAGATTGACGTTTTTATCAGAAATGTAGATGCTTTTGTCTCGCCGTTGGAAAGAAAGTGTCGTCGCCTTGCATATTATTTTAGTACAAGAGATGAATGGACAGCGGAGACACGACATTCGCCCTCTCACTCTCCGCCGGAAAGGAAAAGCAGTGAGACGGCAAAAGTTTCCGTGCTCTGACACTTCTTAACCATTACAATGCAAAGTGCACTTCGTTCTTCACAGACTGCTCCTTCTTATCTTTGGATCCTTGGTTATCTATATGCTATCAAGAAGAGTATATATAGCAGGCTAAGCAGGCCTCTGTTATTAGTTGAGCGGAACCCTTTGTTCCCATATTTTAATTTTTTTTTAATAACATGGGAAAAGTAAGCCGACAAACAAAGTTTCACAATAAATGTATGCGGCTAATTTCACAATTTAATTAAAATCAATTATGATGTAAGCACTTTCAGATTTTGTCTTTCTTGTACCTTATAATATGTCATGTTTGTTTACTTACAAATGATCAATTTTAAAATTAATATTATTTCATTTTCATATGTCTACTATAATTATTAAAATTTTCTCCCAATCATAGAAAACAATTAATGAATGAAATAAGTGAGCTCTCAAAATAATGAAAAACTTCAAAATCTTTGTGGAACGTAATCAAGTTTAAAATTTGCGGCCCATCTCGGCGCGGACCTCTCTTGAGGCTTCGCGTTTTAGCGACGTGTTCGCCAGAGGTGCTGCCGTTTCTTCACATTTTTTTTCGATTTCATGTATCACTACTTGTGAAGAATAAACAATGATAATTAAATCTATGAAATTTGCATCAGCGTCAGTTGGAATTTGTTTTAAATATTTCTTTTAAATTCAATCTTACAGTAAAATTTTTTGTTTCAAAATTACTTAACTTATTTATTAAAAAAAAAATGCCGTATTATTTAAATTGATCTCCATTGTTTATTTATTTTTTTTTTTTTTTTTTTTTTTTGATCAGCATAATGTTAATAATTATTAACTGTTGTTTACTGGTAAATTGTTGACTTTTCCTTCGAATTTCATTTACCATTTTGAAGAGAATTTTTTCAGATTTCAAAATTTTAGAAAATTTATTTCTTGATCAGCCAGCAATTTGAAGACGTGACAGAATAAAGCTAAGCTACTGTAGAAAGTATTTCTAAAGTAAAAATACACATTCAACATGTTTCAAGTACAAAGATGGGCAAATATATGAAATTCAACTTAATTGGTGCCTCAATTATATTCAGACGAATATAACATTCGGAACGCAATTGTTTATATAAAACCGATAATATAAGCTTGAATTATCGCAATCAGTGAGACTGATCTAGGGAATCACAAAGGGCGCTTCAGGTTAAATATTTTTTGAAAAAAATAAATTTTTTACCAATTTTCAGGGTAAGAATATTTTCAGATTTCAAAATTTTAGAAA